ATTTCGGATGAAATGAAAACGTTTGAAAAAATGATCATGAAGGAAGCTCGCAGTATTAAAAAGATAAATAAATTTCAAAAAAACTTATCCGTAACTGAACAAAAAGCAGTAACGGATTTGAAAAAGAAGGATGATCTAATCGTGAAACCAGCAGATAAGGGTGGTGGGATTGTGATTTTGAAAACAGAAAATTATATTATAGAAGCAGAAAGGATTCTTCTAGATACCAATACCTATAAAAAAGTAATTAATAACCCTAGTATAGAAGTTCAAACAAAGTTTAACAATTATATAGAAAGAGGTTGTGACCTTGGAATCCTGAAAGAAGAAGAAAGAAAATATCTACAAATCCCACATCCTAAAATTCCGGTATTTTACTATTTACCCAAAGTACACAAAAATAAAGATAATCCTCCAGGAAGACCAATCATATCAGGAATCGATTCTATTTCTTCAAGAACTTCAGAATATATAGATCGTCTCTTACAACCAATAGTGGAAAAAAACTCTGCGTATCTTAAAGATACTATTCATATACTTCAAATTCTAGAAGGAATAGAATGGCAAGATCACTACCTGCTAGTCACTTGTGATGTTGGATCCTTATACAGCATCATACCCCACAAAATAGGGATAGAAGCAACAAAATATTTTTTAAAGAAATTTAGTTTTAAAGATATACAAATAGATTTTATATTGGAAGGCATTTTATTAATTTTAACCAATAACTTTTTTTGGTTTAAGGACTCATTTTTTATGCAAATCACAGGTACGGCGATGGGTACCAAGTTCGCACCTAGCTATGCTAATTTGTTTATGGCCTACTGGGAGGAAAGGATTTTATTCCCCAGTGACCATGCGGCGAACTTGGTAACCTATCGCCGGTATATTGACGATATATTTTTTATATGGAAAGATGGAGAAGAAAGTCTGAAGGTTTTTCTTAATTTTTTAAACAATAATGAATGGGGGATTGTTTTAACCTCCACATATAGTACTCATCATATTGACTTTTTAGATTTAGAAATTTTTATTGCAGAATCGAGAATTCATACTAGAAACCACTTCAAAGAGGTGGATGCCAACAGCTATATTGAGAAAAAAAGCTGTCATTATCCACCATGGTTGAAGAATGCCCCAAAAAGCCAATTTTTAAGGCTTAGAAGAAATTGTACACAAGATTCGGATTATGTAACACAAGCAGACGTAATAAAACAACAATTTCTACAAAGAGGTTATGATGAAGAAGACCTCTCAAGAACCTTAGAACAAGTTAAAAAGATGAGAAGAAAAGATCTGATAAACCATAAAGGAACAAAAACAAAAAATACAAATAAAAATAACACGAATATACCATTCATATGCAACCATAGTGGAAACAATGGAAGAATTAGGAAAATAATTAAAAAATATTGGCCAATTCTGCAAGAAGACCCTATCTTAAAACAAATAATACCTCCAGAACCTAAAATAGTATATAGGGGCTGTAAAAATATGAAACAAATTTTAGTAAACAGCAGTTTTAAAACTAAACAGAAAGATCATTTTTTAAATAAAAGTAAAGGTTTTTATGGTTGCGGCTCTTGTTTAGCCTGCAGAACTACATGCCAGAAAAAAAGACATATCTTATCTTTTAATTATCAGAATGATAAAACATTTTATATCAGGGACCAACTAACCTGCTTTTCAAAAAATGTAATTTATATTTTAAAATGCCCCTGTGATCTTATTTATGTAGGACGAACCACGAGATGTTTAAACATTAGAATTTCAGAACACGTAAGAAATATAAAGAAAGGAGTAGAAACACATAGTGTTTCTAACCACTTTAAAACACATCATAATAGCGATCCCAAAAACATATCTTTTTGTGCAGTTAAACTTGTACAAAAGGATTGGAGAGGAGGTGATTTTAATAGAAAGATAGGAGAAGAAGAAATGAAGTGTATTTATAATTTTAAAACTTTAATTCCCCATGGTTTAAACCAGGATTTCGAGCTGTGCCATTTTTTAGTATAATTATTTATGCAATATTAGGTTTTTCCTTTTTTTTCCCCTTTTTTTTTTTTTTTTTCCATATTTTTAGAGACCATTTTACCATATTTACATTTTATTTTAGATCTATACTATTGGGGCAAATCTATCTTTTGATGTGATTTTATCTTATTTTATCTTTATTTCGTTGTGATTCTTTTCTACTTATTGATTGTTCCATACATGTCTCTACTTCATTATTTTGTGATATACAAATTTACTGCTAAAGCACTTTATGACTCTATTTTGTAGCACTTTAAATGATACTACAAATAACTTTGGGACTGACAAATTTATTGTTCCCTTAGTGCTTGCTCATTGATTGTTCCACATATGCCTAAACCCCATTTATTTTATACTATTGTGATAAACATGTTTTTTTTGCTTAAGCACTTTTATGATATTACTTGCAGCATTGTTATTAACACTGTTTATAATCTTGGGAACTGACACATATATTATACATAACATTGGAACGCATATGCGTTCCAAGGATGTTTGAACCAAGAGGATACCTCCTCACATACAGCTTGATCAAACCGGAGATGATGTAATTCCGCCGGAAATAGGAAGATTTCGATGCGTTCCATCAAACGCTTTGCATTTTCGGCGAAACCGGAAGTGACGGAGACATTCCGGAAACCGGAAGGAGGCGGTGGAACGCATAGATGCGTTCCACTGGAAGAAAATTACCCGCGATTTTTAAATATTTAAGAACTTAGAGAACATTACCACCTTATGCCAACTGAGGAAGCCACATACCGGCGAAACGCGTTTTGGCAAGTCTACTGGACACTGGGAGGTCTTACCCTTTATATTTATATCATTTATATTGATTTTATAATTTTTTTGTTAATAAATATTTTTTCCCTGGAATATACTCTATCTCCATTGCCTGGTATTGAAAGAAAAAGGAAAAAGAAGCTATACTCTAACAAGTATCATCAAAGAGGTTTGGGGATCACCCTATTAAGATCCCAGAGGAGATTCACACCAGAGCCAGGTTCTAATCTATGGCTCTTCCATTGTGAGTGCATTATATTTGGTTTTTTCTATATATATTGTGTATAAGAAATATCTGCACTATCTTGTACCTCTCTATCTTTTACAGCAAGAAAGGTAGAAGAGAGGGAAGTACATTTTATTATTATTGTCACTTGCTCCACCTACTTTTTGTGTATTATAGGAGATATAAGAGAGGCTAGAGTTGTTCGGTGCTTTATAGGTGTGAGTTAGTGCCTTGAATTGACTCCTATAGCACACAGGAAGCCAATGTAAGGACTGGCAGAGGGGTGAGGTGTGAGAGAACCGACTAGAGAGGAAAATCAGTCTGGCAGCAGCGTTCATTACAGACTGTAGCCGTGCAGTACGGCTTTTGGGAAGACCAATAAGGGGAGGGTTACAATAATCCATTCGGGAAATTACTAGAGCATGGACAAGCTCCTTGGTAGCATCTTGCGTAAGAAAGGGGCAGATGCGGGCTATGTTTTTAAGATGGAATCTACAGGATTTGACAACATGCTGGATGTGAGGCTCAAAGGTGAGGCCAGAATCAAGTATGATGCCAAGACAGCGTGCTTGCAAAGATGTGGGTACCACAAACTTGAAGGGAGAGCGAAAGAGGAGGATCAGTATTAGGAGGAGGAAAGACAAGGAGCTCAGTTTTAATCTTTCTGTCTGTAACATAATTCACAATGGGGTCAGAATCATACTTGCCCAGGTGGGAAAAAATGCAAAATGTTATCACAGTGGATGAAGAGCTCATACTCACTCTATGACACTTACTCTTGACCTTCGGAAGGGACAGAACTCCATTTATTATCTTGCATCCCAGAATTGGGACGTATGGGATCGAGATAGGTGGGCGAATTTGCGGCAGTGAAGCTCAAAATGGATGTCACAGATAATGCCCATAATGGACAAGTCTGCCCAGACAATGGGCGGGCACACACACTGAAAGTACACATCATCCTGGCATCAGGCTGATTGACAGCCTCTCTGGCTGGCCAACAACAGACGACTACGCAGAGAGCACTGCTAAAACACTATTATGTTGTCCAAGTGCTCACTGCACAGTGTGGGCACATCTAATCATGTGCTCGAATTGTGCTGACTGAGGACAGGTCCCTAAGGTCTCCAGAATAAGGACACCAGAGAACAGTATTGGATTGCAGGACAGGACACTAAAATAGGTACTGTCCATGTAAAGTAGGACATTTGGGAGACCTACATTATGGCCACCAAAACAATGTTTTCCAAGGCCTGCAGGGTTATTCAATAAACTCTACATTTTCATAAATTAAATGTGAATGGAAAAAACGGAGACAATAAATTCTCCAACATAACTATAGTCACAGCTTTTTCTTAGTTTTGCCTTAGAGTTTTTCCATTCAGATTTAATTCACAAAATTTAAAGGTTTGGTGAATAACTGTGCTGTATTGCCAGAACTGCAAGTAATATTCAAAATGTTCAAACGTTCAACCTTTAAAAAGCACTTTTACTGTGGGCCTAGACACTTGTAACTCTAAAACTATGCTAAGGATGTATTCATATTTGGACAATACTAGGTCTCAAAAACACCTAGGGTTATAAGCTACCTAATATAAAATAAAAGTGTGAAAAAAAAACCAGTAATATTATCCTGCCAACCTCCCGAGATCTTGGACTAAAGAGTGCCACATTGGGGGTTGCAACCCCCAAAGCCCACGTAAATAATGCATATAGATAATACAATTGCTGTGTTTTCCAGTCTAGAACCATCTGCTACACTTCTCACTTACAGATAAACTTGATTTGCAACTCAGTTTTCTGCAAATAGGAAAGTTACAATGCTTGATTAAATTTAAAAAATAGTAAATGATTAAGCAGGCTCTTAGTTAATTAATCAACGTCATCTCTCCCGCAGTGATATATTAGTTCATATAAAATTACAGTTAGTTCTCCACTGTTTGTTTAATGCACCAAGATGCCAGGAAGGAGTACATCTGTACGTCTTATGCTTTTAACACTTGCTGTGATGTCTTCTGTCGAGAACGGGGGAATGACATTAACAAGCCAAAGTAGAGGTAAGTGTATACCAGTTTGTAGACTTTGTCTCTATGCTTTATGCTCCTTTGGGGATCATCGTCCACTGACCGTAAACCCTGACAATATGTCACTACAATTGCAAACAAACAAATGCATTAAATAATTGTTCAAGGAGTGATGGCTGGCCAGTGGCTTAAGGATGGTTGAGCATCGTGTGAAATAGTAGTTCAACATTTTCTAGATTGAAAAGTTTAATTTGGGTCCCCAAAAGGTAGGTTCCCAGGTGTTGCAGAACTGAACTCCCTCTGACAGTGTTAACTCTGCTGGGGAATCACGGATTCATAGTTCTGTAACTGCTGGGGGTTCTACCTTTTGGGAACTCCTGCCCTAATATATTCACCTTTTATTAAAAACTACACTTGTTTATTTTTTTCACTGATAAAAACAAGCTAGAGTATTTTGTATGTGCTAACCTATGCTTCTCAGATATATTTTTATTTACTCTCTGCTTCTATTCAGACTAGGCATACAATCATACCAAGCCACCTGAATGTGTGTTATACTATCCACAGCCTCTCCACTCACCTACTACCCTATCTGTATGTTATTTTCTAACGCTGAAACAAAACCATAACATTCTTGGTATGTTTTTGAGAGTCTTAGAAGACAAGATCTTTGAGGATAACCCGTAACACATTTTATTTAGAATTTTGGGAATATTTAAATTTCATGAATATATTTGAAAATAAAACATTACCCATAATTTTAATATTTTTCAAGGTGGAAACACTATCCCATCAATGGTTACACTTTGAAATCTGAGAACTATCTGTGTTTCACTTTTTGGGATATTTTAATTTAAAACATTTAAACAACTTAGAATTAGAGTCATAAGAATAAAAGTTATACATGTTCTCAAACTGACATTTTGATTTATTTTTACTTACCGATATTAGGACCTCATTTATATTAAATTTTGTAAATCTGAGTTTGATAGTGTTTATATTTTATCCCAAAGAGTTCAAAAAATTATGATTTAGTGAATCAATTCTTAATTTAAACGATTATTATGTTGAATAAACCTCTTTCAATTTGTTAAATAGCATCTCGATGTGGAAAGGTCCTCTTGGCCAGCGATATAGTCAACCTCAATATGCTTTCTAGAATTGTCGGGGGACGTCCATCTGGTAAAGGCCAGCACCCATGGACGGTAAATCCATATGTTTGTAACCACTGATTTTATGTTATGGGGTTAAACCAGTGTCCAGTGGATCTGTTTGTCTATGTAATAAAGAGGACACGTCTATGCATTTAAAAGAAACCTGACGAAGGAGTCTTGTACTCTGAAACGCGCGTCGGGTTTTTTCTTTCAGGATTTCCCTCCACTCACTTGAGCACTTCACTATGCACGAGGGAATCCGCTATATATTTTCACTTTTGTTTCTTTCGTTAAGTTAATGCTAACTCTTTATGGAGCTTTGTTAGTGTAGGGGAATTAGTTTAAGAGGACAGTATTTAGTTAGAACACCCATGAAGGTGTTATGAGGAGATAGTGGATTAGAACAGTGGCGTTTACTTTCTGAGGGGATTTTTTCTAATTATATTACCTCAATTACTGTCTATATCGCTATCTATTCCTAATACATATCTCTCTCTATACAGTTGACAAGCTACTCATTTATAGAGATATTGTCTTTCATTTTACGCTATACTGTCTCTCTCATTACCCTGCACACTTATCCATAACAAGATTTCAAGGAACTACATGTATTTCGTTTTCTTTGTGGGTCATCCTATGTGTGATATATCTCATTTTCTTCACATTTAGTATGCTTCAATTGAGATTTGGCCACTTAGTTTGATCCACATAGGATCTGAGGGTTAAAAGCTTTTTTGGAGACACTGCTACATTGTATCCTCTCTACAGTATAGTTAATAAAGTTGCAGTGTGTTACTGCTTTTGTCAGGATACTTTTTTACCAAGTGCCTCTTATATTAAATAGATGCTTTCCCTGTAGTTATTATCTCCTTTTCTGACACTTTATAGGTAGTCTTTTGTAACATTTGGCGTTCTCTTTTTACTATCATTACCAGACTAATTGGGAGTTCCCCCTTTTTCTTTAGGGGACTTATCCGATTATTGTGTTTTCGCTCTCCAAACCAATTGGAAAAGACAGGGAGGGGGTGATTGTGGGAGGCTCATTAATTAAGTTTTCCCTGCAATGTCCCAATATGAGGGGTTATCACATCTACATTGTTAAGTGAAAGAGCCTTTGATTGTTCAAATGTCAGAATAATTGGCAAAACACGCTTTGCTCTCTTCTCTGAAACGGGTCATTACCATTCCAAAAAATAAAGGATATATCATTCTAATGGTTTTCCTGGACATTTTGGAGGCTCCCCTGCCACTGACCTAGAATTTACCAGTGACCGGCCAATTAAAACCAATTTTAGATAAATTAATACTACCTTTTTACATATTGTTATAGCATCATTTGTAAATAGCACCATAGATACTCAGACACAGCTTAAAATAACGTTAAAGGCAAACTCTGGACACCAATACAACTTTAATGCGTTTGATAGATTTTGGCCTCAATAATATGCTGTATTTTTTTGCATGCTCAAATCTTTATAGTTTTTGCACAATAAATAAATACTCTGCAGAAGTATGCACCATTAGCATGTCTCCTTAGCCATGTCCCTCATGCCAAGACTTCCTTATCCGTCTCAACCCCAAAGCACTGAGTGAGACGCTTTTAAGTCACATTCTGGGAGCAGAAGGTCAGAGGAACTACAAACCGCTAAACACTTCCTTACTATATGCCTCCCTGGGTATCCTCTCCTTCTAAGGCAGCTTGCCTCGTAGTTCAGGTTTTTCAATACTGTCAGTAGCTGAGCTGTGTGGATAAGGAAGTCTAAGTGAGGGACGTGGCTAAGGAGGCATGCTTATGGTGAAGCATTCTGCAAAACATTTTATTTATTTTATACAAAATCTATAAATATTTGAACATGCAAGAAAAATACAGCGTATTAATAAGACCAAAACCCATCAAATGCATTAAAGTAGTAGTGGTGTCTGGAGTGCCCATTTAAAGCTCAGTATGGGCATATTTTACTCTCATTAACTCTCTCAGCACTAAATCACCGAAAACTGAACATTTTCTCAGGCTTTCCTGCAGCCAGTGTCTAGGCGAGGGAGGGTATATCAGTTTTAGATTTCTAAGCTCTATTAGGACATTTCAACCGTACCTATTTCTTTATAGTATGTTAGGTTAACTATACACTCATTAACAATTGACCTACATATAGTAACAATTTATTATCATTTTATTATTATTATATTTCTCATAACTAAGCCAGATAACTGAAAATTAGCTATGGTTTGTGGCATTGTGCTATATTTTGTGTTTAGTTTAGCTTTTTATTTATATTTTCAGGCATGGCATGTTAAGTAAATTAGCACCTCGAGTTAAGCAGCATTCTCTGTCAAAGATGTGATGGCTGAACACACAATCAATCAGCACCATGAGACCTGTTGTGTGTTGTGAAAAGTGGCAATGCAGCATTTTAAAGCCATAAGTAAACATTTTAAACCAGATTAGATTTTAAAATGTTAAGCTCTGGTCAATAGTATAACAAGTTCCAGTGACACAGGTTTAAATGGTTACTCCAATAAAAACAAAACAGTGTTTTCATGAGGCCAAGTTCTTCCTGCAGCCCAATCCCACATGCCTGGCATCACTTCACCTCACTGATAGAGGCATCTCGAGGCTTTTGCAAAGAACTGACATTAGACAGCCTGGAACTTTGCTCAAGGGCTAGCTACAAATGCTGCTGGAGGGGACGTTTGGAATTTCAAAGTGCAAGATAATGCATCTTGGACGTAAAAACCCAAGGGCAGAGTACAGAATATTTCATAAAGTCCTAACCTCAACATCTGAGGAAAGGGATTTAGGGGTGATTATTTCGGATGACTTAAAGGTAGTCAGATAATGTAATAGAGCAGCAGGAAATGCTAGCAGAATGCTTGGTTGTATAGGGAGAGGTATTAGCAGTAGAAAGAGGGAAGTGCTCATGCCATTGTACAGAACACTGGTGAGACCTCACTTGGAGTATTGTACACAGTACTGGAGACCGTATCTTCAGAAGGATATTGATACCTTAGAGAGGGTTCAGAGAAGGGCTACTAAACTGGTTCATGGATTGTGGGATAAAACTTACCAGGAAAGGTTAAAGGATCTTAACATGTATAGCTTGGAGGAAAGACGAGACAGGGGGGATATGATAGAAACATTTAAATATATAAAGGGAATCAACACAGTAAAGGAGGAGACTATATTTAAAAGAAGAAAAACTACCACAACAAGAGGACATAGTCTTAAATTAGAGGGACAAAGGTTTAAAAATATCAGGAAGGATTACTTTACTGAGAGGGTAGTGGATGCATGGAATAGCTTTCCAGCTGAAGTGGTAGAGTTTAACACAGTGAATAAGTGGTCCTTGTCCTTGGAGTAACCCTTCAAATTAAGTTATATTTGACAACAAAATGAACTGTTTGCAGTAATATGTAAATTAATTAAATAAGGCATTCCAGTATTTTTTGAAAAACTTTTTGGGATTAATTTTAATGCAAAACATATATTATAATAGTAATATACTGGCTCATGAGAACCATTAAAAATCTATTAATAAAAAAACCTTTTCAGGTTTCTTTAAAACGTAAGGCGAATCACTTCTGCGGAGGGACCATCGTCACTTCGACCCAGATAATTACAGCGGCTCATTGTGTGACAGACAGGTAAACTCTAAGAATTTTATTTCATTCATGAGTTTAACATGATGTTCCCGCCTGCAGGTTTACGTTGTTGTCTTTATATATCTATGTATTTACATTGCAGGATCCTCTCTAAGCACAAAATCCTTATGTATAGAATAGTAGAATTAATAGCTAAAAAACAGAACCAGTCCAAAAACAAAACATTAATTGACATCTATGTGATCTTCAAAGGGTTCAATTCTTTAAAGGACCACTATAGTGCCAGGAAAACAAACCCGTTTTCCTGGCACTATAGTGTTAATAGGTCCCCCCCACCCTCATGAAACCCCTCCCACTGTGCTGAAATGGGAGGAAGGAGTTAAAATCTTACCTTTCTCCAGCGCCGGGCCAGCTTGGCACTGGGGACTCTCCTCCCTCTTCCGACGTCATCGGCTGAATGCGCATGCGCGGCAAGAGCCATGCACGCATTCAGTCAGTACATAGGAAAGGATTTCTCACTGCTTTCCTATGAACGCTGGTGTCTTCTCACTGTGAAAATCATTACAAATGGATTAACCCATTTGTAAACATAGCAGTTTCTCTGAAACTGCTATGTTTACAGCTGCAGGGTTAACCCTAGAGGAACCTGGCACCCAGACCACTTCATTGAGCTGAAGTGGTCTGGGTGCCTGTAGTGGTTCTTTAATACAACTCATATGAGCCTATTCTATTTTTCTCTCTCTCTTTTTTTTTATATATATAATTATCTTTTCCCTGTTGGAGTATTTTATTTTATTAACTGCTTCATTACCAAGTACTTTCTATCAAAAAAATAAATAAACTGCAGAAGCTTTTTGTGCAGCAAACGATACACAGCTTGCAAATAAATGTAGGATACAAATTATATTTCTTATATAGATTGCTGTTCTGGGATACTAAATAAAATGTACATGTTTGTAAATGTACTCCATTTTAATCCTTCATTTATCCATTTTTTTCCCATTTCTTTAATCCACTTAATAGTAAATTGGAGTGGATTGAAAAGGAAGCAGTCAATGTTAAGCTAAAATAGCCAGGTAGAATTTATAGCCGAGTTGGAGAATTTGGCCGAATTATTGCTTTTAAGCTAATTTTTACATTTCAGTTTTCAATTCACTATAATACTGTGTCTAGTGAATTAACCCTTTTATGAAGAGCATTGTTACAATGACTAGCAAGATGGTTGCGCCATAATTTTGAAAATTTACAAATGTAAATGGAAAGAGAATGTAAGATTAGACTACGAGTGAGTTGGAGATTTTTTTCCAGATTAGCCCTTTTTGCTTAAATTTTTGCTCTTCGGTTTAAATTTTTGTCATTTCAGAGTTTAGTGAATAAGCCAAAACCAAGAGTTTATTATAACACTGAGAACCGACAACTCACGTAGCTTGCCTTTTTAATGCGTTTCCGCTCAGGATGATTCCATCCACAAGGGCAGTCTAAATCTGATTTGATGGCATGTTCCTCTGCATGGGAGATACAGCAACCTCAGAGTATCATTTCACCTTCATTGGGCCTGGTGATTGAGGTGTAGCTGATACCCCTGTAGACACAGTTAGCATCTGGGGTTCCATTTCTAGACATTGTGGCCTTGATTTAATATTTTTGATACACTTTTCAAAAGATTCCATTAGACTTGTAGACGTATTGTGATCATTTGAAAGACTGCATGCAAAAATGTTAAACCGAGGCCAATGTTAGTGTTGAGTTTGAAAGACACGACAAACAATCTAGGTCTGGGAATATGTTTCAGCGTTATTTGATTTGTTGGTATGCTTAATACATAGTTCAGCTAGTAATGGGAATCCTTTGGATGCACAGTAGACCATTTAAGTTGCAATTTATCATTTCTTCTTTCATATTCACAGAAATGCAGTGACGTACATAGAAGTTTACGTTGGAGACCAGGATTTCACAGTCACTGAACCAGCACAAAAGATATTTTCCCTCAAATCTATAAAGTCGCACCCACAGTTCAATCCGGGCAAACCAATCAACTTTGATATTGCAATTCTTGAGCTGAATGGCCAAATAACTTTTGGTAACTGAGTAAACAGACTTCAATAGCAATTAATTAGATAATGCGAGAAGAAAAAAAAAATAACTTAAAATTATGTCAATACAATATACCACTTGAACTGGACAGGGCAATTGAAGAGTTTTGAAGAGTTATATAGTCAAATAGGCTGAACAGAGACATGCACCCGTCAAGTCCAGCGTTCCTCACATTTGTTTTTTGCTGTTGATCCAAAAGAAGGCAAAAAAACCCCCAAAAAACACACAGTTTGAAGCACTTCCAATTTTGCAACAAACTAGGAACAAAATTCCTTCTTGACCCCAAAATGGCAGTCAGCTTAACATTGGATCAAGAAGCTGTTACCCTACATTTAAAAATTTTATAATTGAATATTATGTTTTTGCAAGTATGCATCTAGTTGCTGTTGAAGCATCTATATGGACAAGGCTACTATTTAATTACCAAAGTAGTCCTATAAGACAGTGTTACATAAAGGTACACTCCAAGCACCATAGCCCTTACAGCTCACTGTAGTTGTTATGGTGCCAGGAGTACCATGGCGTTCCCTAATGTAAGTAGTCAAACTGTTTTTGAAAGGTTTGACTTCTTACCTGGGGTCCATTGGGTGCTTCTCCTTGCCACCACGTTTAATGTAAATAAATATCTTCTGTTAGTCCTCCTGAGCTAAGCCCAGCAGTGCAGTTCATCAATTGAGAGCATTCGTTGATCACTCTCACCCAGCCAGCGAAGCCTTGCTACCAGCTCTCCGTTGCTAGTAGGGGAGGCGGGGAGCAGCGCCCACTCCCCAGATAAGAATCAAACCGTTCAAAAACAGCTTTAATACTTACAATGGCATTGTGCTTGGGAACTCCTGCGACCACAGCCGCCAAATGTACTTACAATGAGCTTGAACATTTGTTCAATTTTAAAATGTCACTGATCCATTCTTCATGTATTAGTAATATATGATTAATTATGAAAAATGCATTCAACAGATTAGGAGACCTGCCGTATGCCACACGGTGCTATTTATTCATATATTAATCCATTTACCTCCCAGTAAATGTCTGTCTACTCTGTATATAAGTATGCCTCATTACCCTGGGAGAGTGTCTCCTGCTTCGCTGTATTTCTGAGAAAATATTCTTTAGTCTCCTTTCTGACCCAAGGCCCCGTGGTTCTGGTCACCAGCTATCTACCTGCATGCTATGTCTTCCGGCACTGCACTACATTGCTGGATAAGGGCGATGAAAGTTGACAAAAAGATATGAAACATGGACTGCCAGTGACTAAGTATTCATGATTCTGTGCTGTTCTGTCAACCTCTGTGTTTTTTTTTTTTGTTCCACCAGATGATAAAATACAGCCAGCCTGTCTACCAACCCCAGATGAGGCGTTTCGGCCTGGTTTATTGTGTGTTGCTCTTGGATGGGGGCGTTTGCAAGAAAGTAAGCTTATATCAAACCTTAAACCAAACTTCAATGATCCCCATGACCTGTGATACAGCACACGTGTCTCTATCCGTGTGACGTCAAAGCCATGTTATCGTATTGCATCATTTGATAAGAACTCCAAGCGTTTCTTTTATGGGATTCCAAAGACAGAAATAGCTAGAGAGAAGGATGGGGCTTAACCCCTACAGAAGGAACCCCCAGGGCATTCACATTAAAACTCAACTTTTATTAAATCATTTAAAAATTCAATATATAATGAAAGTAGCTGCTACAATCATCTAAAAAAAGTATAAGGTCTATAAACATATAAAAGACATCCAAAATGATTCACCCTCAAAAATCAATTAAATTGAATTTATGAGATATTTAATAAATGTTAAGTTTTCATATTTGTGGCCTGGGTAGTACCCATATTTAAAATCCATTTTGATGGACTCTCAGCTCGAATTTACACTGGAAAAGAGTCCTAATTATCGTGACCTCAACAACAGAGCTGGTAATTATTTAACTTTTTTTTTTTTTACCTTCCTTCCAGGTGGTAGGATCCCTTCCATATTATATGAGGTTTCCTTGCCTGTCATCGAGCCCACGACGTGTACAGCTGTGATGACAACTCTAAAAGGATCCTTGAAGTTTGAAACTATTTTATGTGCAGGGTTCCCCGATGGAGGAAAGGATGCATGTCAGGTCTGTATTGGATGGCCGCTTGTCTTTGTATAGAAAATAGTCATAGCATGCAGTTTTAACCCCTTAAGGACACGTGATGGAAATTGTATGAAGCTGGGTCCGTAAGGGATTAATAATGCCCACATTATTTATAATGGTCCTGTATATAATACTGTCAAAATATTTAGTTGGAAAAGATACATCTGTCCATTTCTGCTACCCTTTGGAATGTAGATATTACTATCACCCCACTTAATGGTGCTTCTTTAATTGACCTTGAAATGATAAAAGGTCTGAACTGACCTTGCCAAAAACTGAACTTGTAACTCTGAGATAGTCCAGGGGTTGGGGCTCCAGATGCACTCTCTCACTGCAATAAGTGGTGTTGTTAACTGCCGACATGCAATATTTGCACTTCCTCCTTTATTATAGGATTAACAGAGAATTAAAGTTGAAGTAACTCATTTACAAACATCTGTTTTTGTGTATTTTTCTCATTCATTCAAAGGGATTTAATTATGTCTATATTTTAGCACCATGTTTATAATTATTACTAGAAAGGGGCTATTGAAGGACATGGTAGCCAAATTAAGGGGGAAACGAAGTCCTACTCATTGTAACTTAGGTAACTTAATTTTCTGGATTATCCTATTGTTAAATTTTTCACCAGCGCAAGATACAGTCACCTCATGCCTCCCTTGCTTGTGGATCACCTTTTGACAACACTATAGATTAACCTGTTGTACATTAAGACTAAGCCATCTGTGTTTAATTCTTACACTTCAGGATATGAACTCCAGTGGTAGAAACACAATATAATACTCTGTAGACCGGCTAATACACTGAGATGTGTCTTTCTATTGTAACAAATGTCTATAGCTTATTGCTATGCTGTGCTCAGTCATGGATCTTGCAGATGTTCGTATTCATCTAGATCACAAAAAATTATTTAGAAGTTCTGCATTGGGAGATGTGCATTACCCTATCTGGGTTTCTCCATTGGTTTGATAATTTGTCCATCGGTTTGGTATTATTTTATGGCTTCACTATGACAGATTATGTTCTGTTTTTTTATATTTACATGACTATTTGCATTGGCTTTATAGACCAACATGTTCTTAAAATGAACCTACATCTCTTTGTTAAAGGAATGTTATTTGTATACACTGTGTTTGTACGTGCACACGTTGTTGTACGTTCCCCCCTTTTTTTTTGTTATTTTTTTTAAACTTTCAATAAAAATTGGACATATTGAAATAAAGTTATGCAATCTAACCCAAGTAGCTCTGATTTACAGTTAACAAGGTTCCCACTTTCTGAAGAATAAAAATGTTAACCAGGAGATTGCTGAGTTCATTTTATCATTACCAGATTTGTATCAACTCTCTAAGTGGTCCTCGAGTTTTGTCTTGGTTTACCTGTTTCCTTATCACTCAAATTAGAGACTTCCCAACTGTTGCAAATGTTACCCACCCATCCATCCATGCATCCACCAACACACACATCCTCCAACACACCCAACCTCCCACACACACATCTATCCTTCTTTCTATCCATCTCTATTTATCTTTTCCCAGTGCCACAAGTCTCCTTAAAAAAATATGTTAAAGTTATCATCATTTCATCCATGGAAAATGTATGTTGCATTGCAGGGTGACTCAGGAGGCCCCCTGGTGTGCCAACGAAGCCAAGGAAGCTGGGTTTTAGCTGGTGTTACTTCTTGGGGAATGGGATGTGGCCGTAAGTGGAAAAACAATGCCTCCATGAAGGTTGGCAAGAGAGGATCACCAGGGATCTTCACAGATCTTCGGAAAGTGCTCCGCTGGGTCTTAGTGAATCTTAACCAAGGTAAAAGTGCCTCTCAGGCACTAAAAATATAAATACATAAAATCTCAACATTTTACCGTGAGATCCACCAATTTTGCAGGTTTTTGTCATCTTATTACATTAGTAGAAGAGGCATCTAATGACATTTCTAGTATTTAAGGAATCCTCAGCTGAGAGATTGTGCAAAATATGTAAGACAATACATAGGTTTTTTTTCTCCAAAGTATGATTTAAATTATAAGGATAAATGTAACCTCAAGATAAAACCATCAATTTGTGCATAATATCTTCTCTGCAGATTCAGATGGTGGCTCTACATATCCTTGCAGAACCATGTCTTCCTTTCTCTCTATTTCCACAGTAAAAAAATGAGAAGAAAGTGAAATCTTTTTTTTTTTTGCAATATCAGAATGCAGACTCTTAAAGGATTACTCAAAGCATGAAAACACATTTATCTCATGAACTAGTTTTGGTGTATAGATCATGCTCCTGCAGTCTAGCCGCTCGATCCTTTGCCATTTAGGAGTGAAATCACTTTGTTGATGCAGCCCTAGCCACATCTCACAAAAACAGATTTCATTTTTAATCAAATCTTACAGCACAGTTTGTTTAATTAAGAAGTTCTTATATCCTGTTCTGTTAATTCAATTTTAATCACACACAGGTGGCTGTTGCTGTCTCTCGCAAGCTATTAATAGATCAGGAGATAAGACATTCTAAATTAAACAGATTGTGCAAAGAAGGGAAGCTAAAATCTTTACACTTCTTTTTTGGGTGGGAGGCTGTGTACATCAAAGGGAGGGGTGGTTTGTGGTTAACCCTGCTTAAACAAAGTGATTTGACTCCTGAATGGCAGAAAGTTGAGCAGTGAGACTGAGCGTTATGGTCTATACACTAAAATTGCTTCTTTAAGTTAGAGTTGTTTTGGTTTACGATTATCAATTTAATTTTATGCTGTGCAGTCTCATACCATAAAACAATGTAGAGAAGCATTCAACAATTAGTATTTAGTTATTTAATGGCAGTAATTGTGCAATTGAATGTAAAATATCTTAATCCTACATTTTTGTTTTGTTACAGACACAGCCGACGCAATCCGCTCAGAAGGTAATTATTATTGACTACTCTTTGTAAGGCTCAATGGTCTAACCTTATACATTCAACTGGCTAAAACATCTTACTTGTGCCACACAGACAGTTGCAGTATGAAGGACGGGATATTGAATGGAAATGAAGGAGAGTTAATATTTCCTGAAGAACCGCAGACACACTACACGAACAATGAGTGAGTACACCCTCTTTAAATTTTCAAGTTTGGGTTCGGATTAATAAATATAGTGGGAGGAGATGTTTGTACACATTTGACGCGCACTCCCAAGACCTCAAATGGGCATGTGCTCACGCATGCGATCTTGCGAGAGTCACCACAGAGTTTCAATGACACGGCACTCCCAGAAGTGACGTGATGCTGGAAGGAGGTTAGTACAGCAAATGAGAAAGTTGACAGAGGCCGTGGGTCCACCCTTTGCAACCTTCAGGTTACATATAAGGAAAAGCAGTTCTAACTCTTCCTTCTGTATAACTTTAAAAAAAGCAGGAAAAAAAACCACAGAAAAACGGGGCACTTAAAGTGGGGAAGGTTTGGAACATGTCAACTTAAAAAAAATTAAAAAAAATAAAAATAAAAATGGTTCAGTGTATTAAGTCCCATATATCACAATGAATTACATTTTCTTTCTAGGCTCTGTGAATGGACTTTGAAAGTCCCCACGGGAATGATGATTTTACTTAATTTCTCTCGTTTTGACTTGGAGTCAGATGTTGCGTGCAATCTGGATTACCTGGCCATATATTCAGAGGAAGGACAACTCATTGGTGAGTAAAATATATGTATATAAAAATACTAGGTCCAGAATATAAATATAAATAAAAAGTAAAATTAAATTAAATTGATGGGACCACTGTACCCAGGCCACTTCATTGAGATGACAACATTAAACATCTCTTAACTTCTATTTGTGAGATTCCAATTTCTTTTATTTATTTTTTTATATTAAAGGAACATTCCTCTGATGTCTTTTTACAAACCTTATTAGATATAACCCCAGTGAAAACATGCAAGTATTTTTTTTCTACGTGTTTTCTTTGGCGCTATATGAAACACCTGCTTGCTGTCTGGATAGCATACCACAAGTGGTCCTTACTCCAATCTCTATCGGAGCAAAGCCAATGACCTTGTCTATGTCCTTATTTATTTTTCCAGGAAAGTATTGCGGCGACATACTGCCAAGACCGATCTTAATTTCTTACAACATCATCACATTAAAATTCTTCTCCGATTTTCAACAATATGGGACTGGGTTTGCATTGAATTACTCTGCCGTAGAACGTAATACTTACCAAGGTGAGAATGTCCATCATCACTATCAAGTGTGAACTATGGGGGTTTTACCTCGCTGTAAACACTACGATGGTAACAAATTGTGTGTTAGTGTTAATTTCAGAATTTAAACTTCCACATGTTCTGAATTGTAATTTCTTATGCTCTGCATGTTATAGCTAACAGTGTAAATAATTATTTATGCCTAAATAATACGTAAGAGAAGACGGAGAAAAGACAAAAACTTGCAATATGGTTTATTCCCACTTACATCTCAGACAAGTTCTATCTCCCTTATTCCATTACAAAGGTAATCTATACACAAATTAACCCTCAAAATGATCCCACCCCCAGGGGTAGCTCAGTACTGTTGTGCCAGCAGATCTTATCTTTGAATACAAATCCATACTTTTGCTGTGGTCCCATACAGTTATCATTCCGGACTATCCTGAGCAGTAGCCAAGCTAGCATCTCTTTGACAAGGACTTGTCCCTCACCATTAAAATTATGTGAATGTTACATTGGACAGGAAGAGAATATTCTGGGCTTTGACTTTCTGTTATCTGTGAGACTGCTTCCTATATGAATTAATATGCATAGCTAGGTACTAATTAATAGTTCTGCCTAATAACTTCAGACTTATATTTGATTCTCTTGTTTGTAGATTCTGAATGTGGATCGTTGGCTGTCCACTTTGAGGAGGGAGAAATACAAAGTATGAATTACCCCAACAAATATGCTAGCTTTGCTAACTGCTATTGGGTCATCCACGCCCCCAAATATTTAAACATCAAGGTATATGAATGTACTATTTTTCGTTGTTAATATTTTTGTTCTCATTATAAATATAAATGAGTTTCAAAAAAATCTTAAAAATGATCACTGCACTGTAAAAAGACAATTCTGATTCTTTCAGTTGAGGGAGCGTTAGAATAGCAGGCAAAGTGATGCATGAGATTAAAACAAACATCCACAAAACTGGGAGGTCTACTGTACCCTTAATATACTCTAGTTAATACTTAATGGTTTGCAGGGACATCATATGCTACAAGTGAAGAATTATTGTTCAGGGGTGCAAAATTTTCACAAGTTTGTTTGATTTTCAAATCCCTTTAACATGTTCAACATTACTTGAAATGAGTTACATACTAACTAATGATATAGTGTTGGCTTTCCCTGTTATGACAATTTAGATGAAAAAATATATATATATCAGTATATTTCATAGCATAATCGTGTTCTCCTTTTGCCCTAGCTAAGCTTCGAAGACTTTGAGGTTGAAGCCAGCACAAACTGCTCTTACGACAATGTTAAGGTTTATCAAGATCTAGACGCAGAAGATGAGATCGGTAATTGTGTCTGTCACTATTGCATTATACCTGTTGTCACCACACTTGTGCTAGTATGTTTAAAGGGCTAATTTATTATTATTATTTATTAAAGGGACACTATAGTCACCCAAACAACTACACTTAATATAGTTTTTTTTTTTGGTGAGTAAAGTCAGTTCCTGCAGGCATTTTGATGGAAACACTTTCATTTCAGAGAAAAGGCATTTTTTACATTACTGCCTAGAAACACATTCAATGGCACTTCTCAGATGGCCACTAGAGTTGCTTCCTGGGTCAGTACTACACAGTATGCAGTACTGACATTTATTGTCTCCACACTCTGCATGGAGATGCGGAACTTTCACCATAGAGATGCATGGATTCAACGTATCTCTATTAGGAGATGCTTATTGGCCAGCGTGGTGGTTGGCACTGCCCCCGCCCCAACTCTTTGTCTGAGATCATCAGAAGTGATGGTCTCAGCCAATCCAATGCTTTCCCACAGGCCCCACCCCCTGGCCCCAATCCAAGAAGACAGATTGGGGGTGGGGCCAGGGTACAAGATATGTTTAGTATTTATCGAAGCTATTTAATTTAGTGAACATTAATCCAGAAATTATTCTAACTGTATTGTGGACGAAGTCGGATTTATATGAATACATTACGGTTTCTTTAAAGGTCGGATATTTACTTTATGATCATTTGCTGTGTATTTGCAGGCGTTTTTTGTGGATTTTCTATTCCCCCGAGTGTCACCAGCTCTGACAACATCATGCACATAAAATTTACCACGGATGCAACTGAGAACTACAAAGGCTTCCGTGCATCCTTCTCTTTTGTTACATCAAGTTGTGAGTGTTATCTTCAAAAATGCATCATTACAATAAAACGTACAGAGTGTCCTTAGGTCAGGGCCTGATAGGAGTGGAAGAGCATCCTGGGAGAAAGGGTCTATAGCATAATGAGTGGTCGAGGTAGCCTCGTTTGGACTTTGATCCTTCAGCTGAGCTTTTCTTGCTGGTAAAATATCTTATTACATAATAAGCAGTTGTCTATCAGTTTTATTCACTAACGTGAGAACTGAAAATGAGTTTCAAATTCAAGGCAAAAATAGCTGAAATAGTAACAGTCTGGCTTCCCTTCAGACTGGGTAAAGGATAAGGAAGACACTCTACAGCAGTCCGCAAGGTCTATGTTACAACAGGAGGTTAGCAGGCATGCAGGGGGGGGAGTAGGAGGCATGCAAAGGGTGGGGGAGAGTAGGAGGCATGCAAATGGGGGTGGGGGGAGTAGGAGGCATGCAAAGGGGGTAGGGGGGAATAGGAGGCATGCAAATGAGAAGAGTAAGAAACACACAAGGAGGTGTAAGACACATACGCTAAATGGGGTGAAAGACACACAATGGGACTAAAGGGAACATAAGATACACTGTTAGGGGGTGTAAGACACACAAATGGGGCATAAGATACACTAAAGGGGTGAGACATTAAAAAGAGATCATAAGAAACGTTAAAGAGGGTAAGACATTCAAAAGTAGGGTTAAGAAACACACAGGTTAAGACGCATTATGGGGGCCAGCATACGGCACCTTTGCCAAAAAAATCTATACAACCCTCCCTCCTGTTATACGAGTGCGATTTTTTGATCTTGATACATAATCTCTGCTTCTGGTTAGTTATGGAAGCATTATGTAAGGAGTTAAGGAACAAGTGGGTTAAACATGATAAAAATTTGTATCAAGATGTCAACATTCTGAAATAGATCGCTGCACAGCCAATGGGAGGTAAGCAAACCATGTCACTAATGTCATATCTCTGTGCCACAATCTTTTACAACCCTATTAAAAAGAAATTAGTAGGACAATAATAATGAACATGTTGTTATAATTTTTAGTACATCATGTTGAATCTTTAAAAAGATCATTCCAGATTAGTATTATTTGCATTTGTTAATTTTAGCCTTTGTCTATTCTATATTGCAGCCGTGAATTTTGATAACGCGCTCTGGAAAAATAACCAACCACCTAAAAATAAAGGAGAAATTGTTCGTTTTGGCAAGTACATTTCAGTTACTTCTTTTTAAACAATTATTGATCGCTGATAAGTTTTTGTTACTTGTGTTTGAAAATGTTACATTTAGGCAAATTTTCTCATCTAATTTTCCTACTCAAAACACTGTTTGTCTATATTCCCTCCTTCCAAAAAAACTCACATGTGAAACCCAAAAATGTAAAGTCCGTAAAGAATTAAGAAAAATTACTTCTATTCACAGAACCAATTCTACAGTGTTCACAGAAGATACGCCACAACTAGTGTCTGATATTTAACCAGCTTTTCTAAATTTTAGTTAATATCATAATTAAAGGAATACTCTAAAAACCATAACCACTACAGAACGCTGTAGTGGTTGTGGGCCAGGAGTACCCTGGCATTACTCCACCAATGTAAGTAGTTAAACCATTGTCTATAGGTTTGAATTTTTACTGGGGTCTAGCGGCCGCTGCGTCCTGCTTCAGCTGATTGATCTCAGCTAATGATCGCCCTGAGGATTTCTCAGTGAACAGAGAGAAGGTGGGGAGCGGCGCACAGCAAACCACAAGTAAGAAAACAGACTGGCAACCTACATTGGGGGTTGTCTTGGCACCGTAACTACTACAATGAGCAGAAGTGGTTATGGTGCTTGGAGTGTTTCTTTAATTATCTGCAATAAAATTGTGTACAACAAACTGAACAGTGCATTTTGAAACAGCATTGATAAAGTGAGCACTTCTTCATGAAATGTGTAGAAGAACCATTGCAGCGCAATGTCTACTTATCAAAAGCCATATTTCCTTTTCTGAATTTTAGTAATAGAAAAATGAACACATCAATTGATCTTGGCGCTGTTTATTTGATTTGTTGTAAGTCTGAGTCAGACACAATGTAACGTACAATCATGTTTACAACAGAGCGTGATCACTGTAAGTCTGAATGTGGATATCACTGCTTGCATAATCCACACTGTATATTAAGATTCATTTTCTCTGTTCAATGTTTATTAGACAAGACCTGTGGAACTCCTGCCACAACGCCCAGGTTTATATACAGTAAGTTAGTTGGAGCACAAGAGGCCATGCCTAATTCGTGGCCCTGGCATGTCAGCTTACAGTACAGAGCAGTACATGTATGTGACGGCGTAATCCTTTCTGAATACTGGATCTTGACATCTGCCAGCTGTGTGTATGACAAGTAAGTGACAATTTCAGACACTCTAAGTAAAATTATAGCTCAGCAGACAATGGATTTATCTAGTCAAACCATAAATAATATGTTTTTTTTTTAATCATTAGATTAGTTCCTTTTCATTAAAGGAACACTATAGTGTCAGCAATACAAATGTATATTCTTGACCCTGTAGTATTAAAACCATAGGCCTTGACTCCCGTTAAATAACTAAAACACGTACCTTTATTTCAGTGCCCCACTCCGCCTCCCTGGCTTGACTTGATGATCTCAACCAATCCTATACTTTTGTGCATGTGTGGTAAAACGCTGTGCTGCACCAATCAGCATTTCCTCGTAGAGATGCATTGATTCAGTTTATCTCTATGAGGAATGTTCAGCAACTACGTTTAGAGTATGGAAATGCTGAACCTCAGTACTGCATCTTGTGCAGAACTGTCCCAGGAAGCACCTCTAGTGGCCATTTGTATGTGACAGCCACTAGAGGTGTTCATAGGCAGTAATGTAAACACTGCCTTTTCTCTGAAAAGGTAATGTTTACATTAAAATACCTGCAGCGACTGACTTTACTCACCAGAACAACTACATTAAACTTTAGTTGTTCTGGTGACTATAGTGTCCCTTTAAAGGAACACTATCAGGAATACAATTCTATCCCTAGGTATATACAGGCTCATTAAGGAGCATCTTTGCAAAATAAAATAAAATGTAGAAATCCCCCTCACTGCATTACCTCTATCCTGGAACTGGGTGCCTCCAAATTGGCTCTCTGTCAATCATTGTTATAAGCTCCGCCCTTTACACCTGTCAGAAAACATAGGGAGAACAATGAGAAGAAAAACAGAAATATTTAGTTTTTTTGTATCTCCTCCTCCAATGCAATGTGTGCTCCCGCTGTGACAAGACGGAATTAGATTGTGATATCCATTGGTAAATCTTTAATATAAATTTAAAGGAAAAGACAAGATACAGGGGATTTTCAATGTCCAATGAAATGACTCCGGTTTATCTGTCAATGTTACAGCTATAGGTTAGATAAAACGTGTTGTTTGCGTTCTACGTATCTATGGAGATTGTGTTGTTATGTCTCTGTCGGATTAAGCTTACCATAGAGATATACAATCAGCCTAACTAGATCAAAGCCCAACTCTATGATAACGCTTTAGAAAATCTGCCGAAGGAGCATTATTATTAAATATAATATAAATAAAATAATAATAAATACTTTTTAAAAATCTCATACTGAATTGCTGCATATACAGGGTCCTTGCACCATAACCACTTCAAAACACAGAAGCCCTTGCGGTTACCCTTTTAGAAGAATAAGTATATATCAAGCAGTACCCCTTTTTATTGGTTAAAGCACTAAGTTTTCCTAATTTATAACAGCATTATTATACACGCTCTTAATCCTTTCCCCTGGTTTTAGGACATAGTTTATCATTTTGACTATTATTTTTTATTTTTTTAACTCAGAAAAGAATTGCCTGTTATGTTGCTGGTGGTCGCTGGGTTGCATGATCTTTCTCATTTGGAAAATAATCAGGTAAAAAAAGTCAACCACAAAGTTATGAAGTGCGATGCCCAGGCATAGGACAATGATCAAGGGCTCTCCTGCATGAAATTCAAGGTTCTACCACATAATATGTCAAAGTTTTTTTTCCACTTCTCGAGTATTGCAAAATAAGAAAGAGTTTAAATACATATTATTCTGAACAAACGTTGGGTAATAATATGGCAGTAATCACATTACGTTTATCATATCTCTGTATTGATATATGTTTGTGCCACTCAAGAATTAGATTGCTCTTAGGTACCCATGAGCAGTTGCTGTTTTGCTGCAAACTATTTGGAGCCATAATGTATTTCTTTTATTTACTGAAAAAACACACAAACAAAAAAACATAGTTTAACGTTAACCACTGCTCCTGTCCTGGTACTCAACTGGCAGACAAACCACTCCAAATCACCTCCCTCCAAATCACCTCCCATCCTGTTTGCACTGGAATTGTAGATAAGAAAGACAATATCATAGGAAAAAATGGGACAGTGAAATCTAGATCTCAGAGGAGGGACTGTTGCTCTAAAGAGGGTCACTGTGGAGGTATGCTACACGGTTTCTTGTTCAGGAGTTACAAATCGTCTTTAACCAATATTTATTTAAATTGTAATTTCATGGTTAATTAAACTTGATGCTTTCCTTTGTTTTGTGTAGAAGCATTCAGTGAAGCAAATATTTGTCCACGCCGAATTTAACAGGAAGTCAATGAACTATAATATTGCTCTGCTCCAAGTAAGAGAACCATTCCAATTCAACTCGTTCATTCGCCCAATATGTCTGCCAAACAAAGACACTGAGGCCAAGGCTTCAATGCTGTGTGTGGTCTCTGGATGGGGTCTTCAAGGGAAAGGTAATAATGCAATATTTTCACATGCTACTCTTTTTTTTTTTTATTCACTGTGAGAATTGACATGAGTTAGAAACACAGTAAATAGCCTACACAAAGGTAGAAAACATACATATACAGAAGAACATCTAGCAAACGAGTGAGCGATTGCCCTTTTTTAAATAAATAATGAAAAAACATTACCCTGCATAGAGGTCAGAGAGGAGATTAATCACAATATTTAAGACACATTGATAGAGCTGCACATTTTCAGAGTTCACCATGTGGACTACCCTGGAAATCTATACTAGCCATTGAGTTGTATGAAATGTCATATTGTAATAGATAGGTGACCAGTATTACACTAGGTGCTGACCAAGGCGATTTTGTGCAGTTAAAAAAGTAAAATAAAACATGCAAATCACAAGATGGCAAACAAACCTAAACTGCTAGGGCAAGCCACATGTCATGCAGTAGCTCTATTTGGATAAACAGGTTTCAGCTATGTAAGCCTCAACTCAAGGTCTAGAAGGTAGGCTGAGGGATATATATTGGAGAGACAGTCACCCAATTCCCAAGATGCCACCCGTTTGTATCACTGTGCCTGGACTGTGAGGTTTGTCTAGTAGGGTGTCTTCTCCTGTGTGGATATTCCTCCTCATGCAAGAATGGCATTTTAGGAGCAGACTACTCCAGTTTCGCAGCTCTGATGAACACAGTTGGCTGGAGAGCAGATTCTTAGACACAGATATGCCCAATGGGGGCCTCCTGATCCACTCTTTGCCATTTCACTTGTGAACCCATCGGGTACAGGACTTGGTTATGTTGAGTCTAATCGCTCCTCCAGTTAGGCCCAGAAGGACTTGCACATGGTGTCCAGCTGAGCCAGAGTCTGTGAGAATATACTTGCTGAATCGAGGCCTTGTGGCATCTGGCTCTGGGTTTTATGTTTGCATGCATCGTCCACCTTGAACAGCCCAGCCTTCATCCCGTAATGTGGTGCAGCAATCAGCATTCTAATAGAAACAATTATCATCTAGTCCAGCAGGACCGGGATAGCCCACACCGGTCCAAAGGGTGGCTCTTTCCCTTTCTCTCATGCCAGCATAGTGACTTCAGTGATTTCTTTTCAGAAGTACCATAGTCGTACTTCTTTGATACTTTACTTCTCTCAAGACTTAGTGGTCCTTCTGTACGATTTAAAAATGAGAGATGCAAAACAGGAAGAAAAAAGTTTGATTTGTTAATTTTGTAATTTTATTTTGTCCGAAGTTCTGAAAATATTGATTCGGGGTAAAAATTGGTGTAAAAATTTTGTTCGTTTTCTAAATTCAGGCAGCCAATAATCCCCATGGGGAATAAATGATGGTGGCAATCTTAAAGTTATAAAGTAACTGTCTGAGAACTCTGGAATGTGGTAATTGGGGGTCTTGTCCTTATCTGGCTAGGGATATACGCTGACGTCATTATGGTCATATCTATATAGAATAGGGGACAAAGGACCACAAGGTCTTGCTGTTACTTGCTGCTTGCTGCTCGAGGTTAGTCTTCTTGTCTGGCTGTCCAACTATGTAGACTTACTCTCCCTTCAGGAGTCCAGCAATTACCATCTGCTGTTGAACATCCATTATCTTGTAACATCCTTTGTTGTTTTACTATGTATCAGTAACTGTAAGAATAAACCTGAAGAAACCGTAAGTCAGATTGCGTATTAGTATTTTTGGTTAATATAGACGTTTAATATACATAAAATACTTATTTCAATCAACTGAAAAAAGATACAAAAGGAACGAAATTTATTACAAGATCAAAATTATAAAAAGACCTGCTGTTAATTTTGCTCCTTCGGTTGTTTCATAGATTATTATGTTGTTATTTATATTATATTTATTATTTATAGATAACTCCCTAATTTGCTGTCCGTATCGATATGAACGGATCTGGAACATATCATTTCAATTTGTTACAGATCCACTTGTTTGTGTCTTTATGATTCCGAATTGCAGACTTCTCTAGAAATTTGTACAAGTGCAGGTTTTATGTGTGAATTACGGTAGTTGTGTCTATATCAAATGTTAAGCACTGTTTTTCTGAACCGTAATGTAATTCTCCAGCTTTCGCAGACCTGCCACAAAAAAACACAAAAACAAGGGAACAGCACCTACCAAAAGGGTTCAGGAGACCAGTTCTGCCTAAACCAGTATTAACAACATGCAAGTAAAATAAATAGTTCCATCACGTGCTAGTGAAGCAGTATCTCTTTATTCAAGTGCTCAAATGTCTCTTTGTCAAACTTGAACAAAGCTAAAGGGACACTACTTCACTTGGGTGTGCTGAAAGTATTTCATTTTCTCATTATCTCCATTCTGCTTTTTTCCTGTCAATCCATACGATGTTTGGACTGCAGGAGGAGACAGATAGAGACGGGATGAACATACTGGATCAAATTTTAAGACAATTTGAAATTTTAAGACAACAAAGAATGTTCCAAAAAGTGGGTCTGTGGGTCGTGGAATTAATTAAAGCCTGTTTTAAACAAGAATACAATTTAACAAAATCTCAAAATAAAATCATAAAGTAATTAAAAAGTGAAACAATTATTGTGTGGGCATGGACATCATAAATTGCTGGTCTACACAGCTCCCAGGTTCTGAATTATTGACCCAAGTGATAATCAAGTGATAATGGAATTGCTGCTTCTTGATAAAGACTATTAAACAACAACGTTTGCTATATTGTCTCTTTAATAACACAGGAGTACTGAAAGCTACAAAACTGCAACAACTTGAAGTTCCAATCCTTCTAAATGATATTTGCAAAGCGTACTACGCAAGCCATCCTGGGGGGATTACAGATCAGATGTTCTGTGCTGGGTTCCCAGCAGGAAATAGGAATGATACTTGCACAGTGAGTAGTTTTCATGCTTACGTCTTCTTCTGAAATGTTAGTCAGGATCTTCCCAACCTGAAAAAATTATTATTCTCATCATCCAAGAAACTCATAAATAAAGATCACCTATGTTCCCTAAAATAACAATAGGTTGTTTTTTTGGGGGGGCGGAGGGGGTTCCCTTTCGTTCAGCTGCTAAAAAGAGATTGCTTACAGTGTTTTGGGACTCCTCTGCTGCTGCAGCCCGTTCCCCTTTCAAAGAAACAAATGCTCCAATCCCATGTTTCTCATAAAGAAGAAATGGATTCAAAGTAGGCATGCACAGCCAAATGGCACTGCCTGCAATGGGAAGCATTGCACGTCCCCTCCTCTCGGTATGACAGCCACTAGAGGTGTATTTAACTCTGCATTATAAATTTTGCAGTTTCTACAAAACTGCACTGTTTTACATTGTTGGGTTAAAATGACATGGCCACTGCGCCCAGACCACTTTGTGGAGATGAAGTGGTCTGGGGGACTTTAGTGGTCCTTTAAACAACCTCTTCATGATTGACAATCTATGATCCTACAACTATTTATGTCTCTCTTTGAATGGGAAAAATATTCAGGTGGTTAAAGGCCATCGGGTTGTAGAAATGTGCTGTTAAGACTAGAATCTTAGATATATTATTGTTGTGTTTTGCTCTTTGAATTATTTGGGTCAAAATTTTTTAATGATTGATGGAGCAGAGCAAAACTGTACGATGGCAATATGGATATTTTTTTTGATTACTTGTGTGCAAGAACATTCAGCGCTGAGATCCTAACATTAATCTAAACCCAAACACCAAATGCTGTAACTCTAATACAACACACTAATCATGTGCGTATGTCCGACAGCACAGTTTAACTAATTTCTAGATTGCTTTAACACACTTCAGCCGGTATGGTAAACCGAGCAAGCAGCGCATATAATCTCTAGGAACATGTAAGAAAAATAAGCGGAGACAGTGTTAAAGATAGATTCAAACAAGGAAGAAGAATGAAAGCAGAGAGGCCATGTTTAATGGATACTTTATAGGCACCATGCAACTCTAGCTTAACAAAGTAGTTCTGGTTTCTAGATCATGCCCCCGCAGTTTCACTGCTCAAATATAGGAGTAAAATACCCTTTGTTTCAGTTTATGCAGCCCTAACCACACCTCCCCTAACTTTGACTGACCACAGCCTGCATAAATAGAGGGTTTCATTTTCAGTCAGATCTTAACTTGCTTTAGAAGTTTTTATTCCTGCTCTGTTAATTGTCTAAAAGCGAAACTATAGTCACCAGAACAACTAGAGCTTAATGTAGATGTTCTGATTTCTACTCCCTGTCCCTGCAGGCTTTTTAATGTAAACATTGTGTTTACATTGCTGCTTAGGAAAACCTCTAGTGGCAGTCACTCAGACAACCACTAGAGGTTCTTCCTGGATCATTGCTGCACACTCAGCAGCACTAACGTTCAGCGTCTCCACCCCTGCATGGAGGCGCTGGATGTTCATCACAGAGATGCATTGATTGATTGATGAGCAGATGGTGATGGGCGCAGAACTGTGTTATGAAGTGCATGCACAATAGCCTCCCAATGGGAAGGGCTGATATTATCAAGTTGGATGATTTCAGTCAAGGGGACGGAGTGGGGGTGGAGAACTGTAAAAAGGTGAGTAAAATCACCTTTTATTTTGCTGACAATGGGCTGGGGGCATAAATAGTACAAGTAGAACAGAAGTGTCAGAAATACATGTTTGTATCCCTGACACTATAGTATTCATTTAACCACACACAGGAGGCACTTGTAGGTATTAACATAGCAGGAGATAAAAAAAATAATTCTAAATTAAACAGACCGTGCAATAATCGAATTTTAAACATTAGATCTCACTTTCAGGAAGTGTTTAGGAAGGCTGTGTAAGTCACAGCCACCGGAGGTGTGGCAAGGGCTGCATAAACAAAGTGATTTAACTCCTAAATGGCAGATAATTGAGCAGTAAGACTGCAGGAGCATGATCTATACACCAAAACTGCTGTATTAATCTAAAGTTGTTAGTTAGTGCCTATAGTATCCTGTTAACCATTATGGCCTCCAGCCTTGGTCAACTTTGGATATTAGAAGTTACAAATGCCCCAAGTTCGGGTTTTGTGATTTAAAATGTATTTATCAGCCTCAGTATCTTTTACTATTGTATGCATTTCCTTGTAACTTCAGTTATTCACAGTGCTGAGGGCTTACAATAAGTACTGTACTTACACAAAACCACCACATTTGTTTTAGCCTATCTTCTTGTGTCTGTATGGAAACTGAATGGTTGAAATATCTAAAAAATAAAGATTACTGAAATCCTACAGCTAAGAACGATCTGTATAAAATAAAGGATTTAAAATTAATGCATTAATAACATTAATGGTTCTAAGTGATCCTTTTCCCCTGAATCATAATTAAATTTATTTTAATATGTTTTCACTAAGTAAGTTTTACATATGAATGTAGGTCACGTAACACTAATGCCATGGATATCCTTTCAGACCCTGAAAAAAATAAATAAAAAAAAGAATCACTAGTGTATCTGTAGAGTGGAATTAAATTCACATATAATATCCAAGCGTCGGCTTGGAGTCCATCATAGTACGGGTTAAAAAATGTCTGCTGTGTTCTGTACGAGTTGAATTCTGAGTCTGTGCCAGACAGTCTGTTCTGTCTAAAGCATTGGAAATCACTGCAAATGTTTGGGCTTCAACCCAGGAGACACGATGACCTGGGCCTAAGCTTCCTGTCCTTTAGATGTTTTATGGATGCTTTGTATTTTATTATTCTCACGCAGTTCATTGCCAGCCCTTAAAGGATCATTATAGTGTCAGGAAAACAAACTCGTTTTCCTGACACTATAGCATCCTTGGGGGACACTAACCCTCAGGGTCTCCCTCTCGCTGGGGTGAAGGGGTTAAAACCCCTTCAGCCACTTACCTTAATCCAGCGGCAGGCTCCCTCGGCGCTGGTGACCTCTCCTCCCCCGCCGATGTCAGCTCCCAAGTGGAGTGGAATGCGCATGCACGGCAAGAGCCGCAATGCTTTCCTATGTACGTTCTGCACTTGGATGCGAATTTCGCATTTAACGTCGCAGAAGCGCCTCTAGGGGCTGTCAGGAAGACAGCCACTAGAGGTTGGATTAACCATTCTCTGAAACTGCTATGTTTACATGTGAAGGGTTGAAACCTGAGGGACCTGGCACCCAGACCACTTCATTGAGCTGAAGTGGTCTGGGTGACTATAGTGGTCCTTTAAGATAAAAAATACCAACATATGGGATGAGGCGGATAGTGAATAGAGAATTAGAAAGTCATGATGACTTCACTTCTATTTTCTTTCTTAGTCTGTGTAAATTCAAGATTTTTCTATCTAACCAGGCTCTTAGGTGGACTAACAAAGGTCCAGCCAGGACAGAATGTGGACAATGAGCTTACCTTGACTCGGATCTTATTTCCTATAGAGCTTTCTAAATACTTTACACAGTAAAGATTGGAATTCTTAGATTGTAACGGGTACTTTAGTTAAAGGTTTTTATGGTCAGCAATTGTGAAGTACCCTTTCAGTGTAGGAAAATCTGTTCAGTGGATTATTAATTCATTATTATAACTGCCCTTCACCTAGTTCTTTACTATATAGAATGGCAAGCTAAGAAATTATTCAGCGCAAGCAGTATTCAATAACTACTCTAGCTACTGTCCTGAGTTTATTTCATTGTAATTTATTTGATTTTATTTGTGCCAATGAAACCATATTTATATTTATTCTCCTGATGATCCGGCACTTTCCTCCAACATCGTTTGATCTTGAGAGGTTTTTTTTTGTTCTCCTTTGAACCCCCTACCAAGCATTTGCATTAAGAGTTAATACCAACAGGAACAACTACGACAAATAAAAATAATTTGTAATAATGAAAAGGAAATGGGACATTGTGATACCATCCAAATTGTTTGTTTCAGGACCGATCTGGTGGACCACTGGTTTGTCTGATGGATAATAAAAGATACTTCTCAGTTTTTGGAATCGTGAACTGGGGGGTTAACTGTAGGGAAAACCCCAATCCTGGAGTCTACACTAAAGTTTTCTTATTCATTGACTGGATTGGTCAAATAATAAATGGATCAGGTAATGTGTGGATGGAGGGATTTTTCGTTAGATATTTGGTGTTTTCGGGAGCGTAATACAATGAGGGATTTGTATGTCTCTCTCACACAATCTTCAATTTCTAGACCAAAACCAGCGCCATGCTGATGAGACCCAAATAGTTAAAACTTTGCAGTTCATGGCAGGTTTCTGGTCACTGGTCTCTTCGGATCACAACCTGTGCTTTGGTTTTAAAATCTGTGTTTAAAGCAGAGTCTATTGCTAAGGGTATCCGAAAAATTGCACAGTGAAGTAAAACGCAATGACTGAGTGTGCTCATTTGCATATCAAGCTGGGAACTCTGGGATATTGGTAGAAACATTTCTCGCGTTTCTGTGCCCAAGGGGGACTTTCCATAGTCCAGCCCGAGATATGAAGGTGACGCACAACAGTAATATAGCTCTCTTTCTCTCTCACTGTATGTATCTATAGATATATATCGATAGATAAAAAAATAGATACCACTGTTAAGTATAATCAAAAGTCTTCCATCGTGGATATTAAATACTTCACATTCCACTTTATACAGCCACAGAATCGAACAAAACAATTGGTGAGCTTCCAGAAACATTTCTCAGGGGAAATGAAGGAGACAAACCCCCAATATCAAATGACACCATTTTATATGAAGGTACAGCTGTTTTCTGCTACTTGGAACTTTGTATTAGGGGTACAAATAGTAAGGTAAAATATTGATATAGAGAATTAACCACAAATTATGGTTTAGTGAGTAAAACCTTTATAAGCCGACTAAATATTATACATACTTTCCATATAAGCACAAAGAGTACGCTAGTCTGCGAGGTCTCCACCATGTTACAATTTAAAGAGTTCTAGGTAACATTGTCCGAACGCACTCTCTGCATTCATTACACCTCACTGTAGTTCAGTGTTTGTGTTTCTCCCCCTCCAATGATACAATGTGTTTCCCCCGGCTATGCCAGGATTGAACTGGCTTTTGATATCAAGTGATATGTTTTTAAAAGGTAATTACAAGCTACCACCGCACACTGTTGTGGTTATGGGGCCGGGGTGCCATGGCATCCTCCCAGTGTAAGACGTCAAGCAGTTTACTAATAGTTGGACAACTTAACCAGGGTTTGCTAGGCCGCAGTCACCTCCTCCATTCATAACCTTTCTTTAGCTCCCATGAGCTAAGTCCTATCGCACTTTGGCTGAAAAGGTCAGCTGATCGCTTTCAGCCAGTAAGGTAAGCCCTGCACTGATAGGCTAGCTCAGTGTAGACAGCATCCAGCTCTCCTAAAGGAGGTGACTGGACCCCAGGTAAATTGTCAAACCTGTTTTTTTGTGTCATCATTTTAATTATTTTTTTAGATCCTTCTTCTAATGTGTCCAAACCCTCGGAAGATGTCTACTTTGTTGCTGGCTGTGAAGATGTGGTTTTGTTGCAGCCAGGAGACATTAAACTAGATACAAACGGTCAGGCATATCCCAGTGGCTTCAGGTATGTGTTTATAAATGGCTCGACTTGCTTTAGTGCCAGTGGGCTTGTAGTATGGTTGTATATATATGAAGTTGGTTTTATGTCATGATGAGTAAGTGATATCAGTCTGGGCCTTGCATGAAACTGCTCTGCAAGATATTAGAAAACGGATATCTGCTTCCGTAGTAGTAGTAAAATTCCATTTAGACTTATACTAGTGTTAACCAAAAATAGACATATGAAATAGTTCTAGCTAAATAACTAACTAGTATCAATATACAACTGTTCAGTTTATATCACTTAAAAATAGATTGGCATTGCACAACATGATTGTTTTCATATTTTGCCACTAGATGTCAGTAGACTAATAACAAGGCAATTTTTGTATCATTAGGACTGGATTCCTTTCTAAAATAAACATTTAACTGGTTATTAAACAGCTGTTCTCCCTTTGATATATATAGGAACATTTCTATTACGTTTCAATGATATGCAGATCTCTTACAACAGATCTAGCTCACAATGAAAGCTTTCCAAATAGCCCTAATCTTAGTTTATATTTTATTTGTTTATATAAGGTCACAGGTCTCAGTCCAATGTTGATATCTGAAACACCCCTGCTCACAAAGTGCAGAGTTGCTCTAATCAGGGCTGCAGGGCTGTTCACCTGTCAGCTACCTCATACTGTCCAACGTCACTGCTACTGTCACTAACTGGGTCAGCCAGACTGCTTCGGATGGACACGTGGAGGTTCTGTGTGGGGACATAGTTGGATGTATTTGAAAATATTTATGCAGATTTACACCATTCAAGGCATTAATACACAAAATGTTTCTGGAAAAGAATATCCCATTGTTTCATTCTTGCTGCTCTGCATATGAAGTGACAATGCTCTTGAATTGATATAATTGTAAAATGTTCTTGTTATCAGCTGCCAATGGCGAATCATTGCCCCAAAAGATCAAGTCATCAAGCTGGACCTCAAACTATTGCATATGCCAACAGAATCGAAAAAAAAGTGCTGTAATTCTTTAGTGGTTTACGATGGAATTTCCAATGGTAAAATATTGAAAGGTGAGACATTATTCGTGATTTCTGCATTTCTAAAGTATAAAAATGGATGTTTCCACTTATTGGTCATGTAACTGAGTGAGCTCATGCACATCTATTCCCGTGTACGTGTTATACCTTGACATCTCCGTAGAAAGCAATACATCTCGTGTGTTTTTCGTGATAGCATATTTGCCTTGGAGCGACCATGATGCCCTCAGGGCCGGTATTTTATTGGATTTTGCATTCCTCAGGGGTTTGGTAATTTTTGTGAGCTAACACACCATCTGAGACCTACCTTCTGCTCTACTCAGAGACCAATAGGGAGCAGAATTTGGGTTAAATTGACCGTTTTGGTTGGAGAGCAATCAGAAGCAGTGATAGTTATTACATTAAAGGTAAGTATGTTATATGGCTAGATTTGTGAGATTAACATTACATTAAGTTTAATTTAACAATCAGGAACAGCATTACATTTTAATTAAGGTTAGAATCAAATTTGGTGGCTAGGCTTACATTTCTTACTAACCTTAATCATAATTGTCATAACTGTGGTTACATTAAAACACTTTGCACCAGTCAATCTAACCTCAGCACTGCATCTATCTATTGCTGCTTGAACCTTTAGTGAAACGGGTCCAGAACAGTGGCTGAAACTGCCAAGGAGTATGAAGTTGTGTGGAATGCAGAATTTAAAGGGACACTATAGTCACCAGAAGAACTACAGCTTAATGTATTTGTTCTGCTGAATATAATCATTGCCGTCAGGCATTTTCACTCCTCAGATGGCCACTGGAGGTGATTCCTGGCTCAGTGCTGCACAGTAGGCAGCACTGTCGTTTAGCGTCTCCACGCTCTGCATGGAGACGCTGAATTTTCCTCATAGAGATTCATTGGTTCAATGCATCTCTATGAGCAGGTGCTCATTGGCCAAAACAATGTTTGGCCAAGTCCCATCCCGCCTTCTTTCTGATTTCAGCCAATCCAATACTTTCCTTATAGGAAAGCATTGGATTGGCTAAAAATCGGAAATTCTGATGATGTCACTTATGAGTCGGATCGGGGGTGGGGACAGTGTTGGCGGACCACGAGGCGCTGGAAATAAGGTGAGTTTTCACCTTTTCTAAGAGAGGGGGGGCAAGCCACCTAAATGATGAATTAAACACTATAAGGTCAGAAATACATGTTTGTGTTCCTTTAACACCTTAAGGACACATGACGGAAATATTCCGTCACGATTCCCTTTTATTCCAGAAGTTGTGTCCTTAAGGGGTTAATGTAATGCTGTAAAGGTTTGGTTGGCTACATTGTGAATGCAGTAATTCCTGACATATGTGAAACAATCAGTTGAACTGGATGGGAGATTTCCTTGTGCCAAATCACAGCAGCCCTAACAATGGTGCTGTAAAGGGATTCTATTGTGTTAGAAATTCAAAGTTGTATTTCTAACACTATAGTGCCCTTTGGTCCCCCCTCCTTCTCAGCTGCATCCCCCTCCCCCCCCAGGCATAAAAAGAATTAAAAAACATTTTAGTCACTCACCTGATTCCAGCTCTGCCTCCTCCGACATCATCCAATGGTGAGGGACCTAATGTGCATGTGCGGCAGCTCATTAGGCCCTCCCCATTGGAAAGAATTGCCTCAGCATTTCCTGTGTGATTTTCACTGATGCTGGATGTCCTCATTCAGAGCGTGAGGATGTCCCTGGAGTCTGTTAACATCCAAGAAGTGCCATTTAGTGCCTGTCTGACAGCCACTAGAGGCAGTCTAAGCCTTGCAAGGTAATCATTACAGTTTGTCAAAAACTGCAATGATTTATACTGCAGGACTTAGGGGAACCGGGACACTGCGCCCAGAACACTTTAATGAGATTATTGATGTCCCTATTAGATGAGCTTGCTATCTTTATTGCGGATCTATGGCTTTCACTGTTCTTGCTGTCGCCACCAGAGGAGGGCTGCCAACTTTTGGCCTTTGGGGCAGGTACAAAGCAATGGTTTGTCTCATGTGGCAAATGCAATATATTTGTGTAACAGATGGTGGATACTGGAGTCACAAAGTGTGAAATCTTATAACCCAGCAATCTCTATCAATATGACCTGTGTAGCATGACAGATTATTCAGAGATCTGTGCATGTCTAAGAGTCACAGATTCTGAATCCATAACCAATGACAACAAGCGAGTCTTATAAGTGTCATAGTCTAGCAGTCTGGCCACCCTACATTCGGCAGTCCACCATTAAATATCCCAGTGGACCAATCCTGGAGAGCCCTGAGATTTGTGACACAAGCCTCCACAGTACTGGGCTAGCAAATACCCTTCACAATTCCTGCCTGCTGTTTTACTCCTGCATTGTTAACGGACCTCCAACAATCCTCCCATTGCATTAATCTGCAGGAGAATGAGGCTGCTGCCCACAACCCCTCAAAGGAAGTGGCCTGTGGGGAGATAGCACACCTACCACCTTTGCCAGACTTTCCCTAGTCAGCCCCATACATAGAATTGGAGAATTAGTGTTTGTTGTGGGTCTTGTGCCAGGAAGCACCAGTATGTGACATCATTGAGCAGCCAATGGCGATGACATCATAAAGTGCACTGGAAAAACCAACTGGTTCCAGAAAATAAATTGGCGGAGACATTATTCTGTGTCATTGTCTGATATAATTCTCTGGATTTATATTTTATGGTTCCCAGGGAAGAGAATGTACTATATTATTCTACCAGCACGCATTGTACGTCTTGCTCTGTTTCTGGTAATACCTGAACCTTTCTTGTATAAGAGCAGGTTTGAGATAGAATTGCAGTGAGATTATATTACATAATCCATTCCTGTAAGAAAATGTTGTTTGTTTCATATTTTTCTTCTGAAGTCTTTTAAAACAACATTTCTTTAACCAATTCCATTAGACACCAAATAATATATTTATATTAGGCGAATGTCACAGAAACAGCCACATGGCAAACATTAGATAGATGTTCACTTCTTACTTTCTTTTTCCTTCCTTCCTTCTCTGAATATTCACTGCTCATTTTTCTGCTGTTTAGTAGTTAAAGGGACACTGTAGGCACCCAGACCACTTCAGCTCATTGAAGTGGTCTGGGTGCCAACTCCCATCACCCTTAACCCTGCAAGTGTATTTATTACAGTTTTTATAAATTGCAATAATTACCTTGCAGGGTTAAGTCCTCCTCTAGTGGCTGTCTATTAGACAGCCACTAGAGTGACTTCCAGGTTCTTAGACAACTTTTGGTCATAATGGTTTCCTAGGGGAGATCCTACTGCGAGCGCGGCATTTGCCAACGTAGCCGAACTGGAGAAATTCTCTAATCCAGCTATACTTTCAGTTTGGCTACTTTGGCCTTGAATTTGGAAATCACTTTGGATTCACTCACTTTGAACTCTCAGAAAACAATGAGAACTTTTCCTAGAAGTGAACATGTATAAAATATAACTTTTATTAATATAATGTAAAATACCACAGGCAACCGGGTTGTTGATACAATATCAAACTCACCATAGAGAGAGATAGGAGTAACTATACACCCAGTAAATGACAGACTAATATAGGCTGGTGAAAGACAGACACTTAACAGAAAATCTATCTGAGAAACGAGATCTAGATTGTTACAATTATCAGTCAATTATCACCTTAGTAAATAGCCAGGTTGAAATAAAAGCATAATAGAGTTCGACTTCATGTAGGATCAGCGAAGTAACTGTACATGTTTAAAGATTTCATGTTTTAATATTTCTAAATGAATTGGCTCTGCTGCTGATACCAGGGAATGTTGATGCAAATAAATCTGTGTTGGGTTTCTTTGGAGTTCACCTGTCATGAACCAGCACTTTATTATTGAACGTAGCAAAGTACTGGGTTATGGAGACAGTGCCAAGTCTTGCTGGAAACTCCTCTTATTTTAGACAAAGGGATTCCAATTAAGCGATCTGCAGGGCAAAGGTAAAGAGGGTGAAAGTAGAAGATAGACTTGGATTTGGAATGTTTGAATTGCGAATACAGAACTTACGCCTAAAGGGGTGTCCACTAAACAGTGAATTGTGGTAATTTTACATAATATTTGGCAAAATCAGTCTAGGGAATAAAAAATGGGCAGATCAGTTCCATAAATGGGGACACAGCTCTACTCACAGCGTGGTAGTTTTAGCCTGAATTTTGTCATTTGGTTTTTAGTTGAATACTCCGAATTCTCTGTTAAATGAATAAACCATTATATTTTTATAAAAGCAAAGTATTATCACAGTGCTTATACAAAGTGTGCATGTAGTGATTCTGGACTCTGTCCTCTAGATAAACTATGCGCTGTCTTTTGAAGGACTGAGTCTGAAATGATATTGTTTGCACAGTAAATTCCCTGTGTGTTCTCTTGCAGCCCAGCTAACTGATGACATGGTTCCGTGTACTGTATGGTCTGAAAGTTCTGCTGTTACTGTAGCAATCTCAACCAGCTCTGGGAATCCTCAGCTCCAATTGTTGCTGGTCTATAGTTTCCACAGCAAGGAATAATCACTTCTGGCACGCAGTGAATTATATCATCTCTAGGACAGTGTTTCCGAACCTTGGTTTTTGACCTTTGCCAACCCCCTCCCTTATTTCTGCAAGTACGTGTTTAAAGACAGGTGCACATGAATGAAAAAAATAATGAACTCACCTGCACTCATGTCACAGTTTGCTGCTCTGGTTTCTCACTCAAATTTTTTTGCAATCAATCTATTTAATTCTGTTTTGTGTTTGTATTAAATTTAAAATCATTAATATAATTATGATGAAACAAAAATAGTTTTTAATATGATGCGATGTACAAGAAAATGACCGTTTTGAAAACAATGAATTTTTCAGACACTGAGGACTAATAGACAGGCTCTCCTACGTGGCTTAGTTTATCTTTGAAAAAGTTAAATTCATGTCATATTCCCATGATTGGGGATTCCCTGAGTGCAGCAATGTAATAACTACATTTCCCATGATGCTGTACTTGTCTTTAGACTAGGCATTATGGGAAGCTTATGCCACAAGTTTATACAGTTGGGTAATTGGAGCTTTGACAGGCCTGAGACAAAACATAGGTGAGAATAAGAGTGTTCATTTTAAGGGAACTCTCCAAGTGCCAAAAGCAATACAGCACACACCCTGTAGTTGTTATGGTGCCAGGAATTAACTGGTTGCACTGTAAGCAGTCAAACCATTTTAGAATGGTGTGACTTCCTACTTAGGGTGCCTCTTTGGAGCTTTAGTTAGCTAACATGAGCTAAACCCTGCAGTCCAGGGCTTGTTCATTGGTGTCGGTTGATTGCCGGTTGATAGACCTCAGCCAATAAGCTAAGCTCTGCACTGCCGGGCTTGGCTCAGACAATTAGCTGTAGTGGCTATGGTGCTTAGAATGTTCCTTCAAATAGGCTAATGTCCATATGCCTTGTGAAAATTACCTCTGTTTTACTTGCTGACCACAAATCCTGTTAAGGAATGCACCGTCTTTTATTAAATACTTACACAGTTACATAGGCTGAGAAAAGAACTCCGTCCATTTAGTTCGGCCTTTTCATACATTTTGCAACAAAATTGTAAAAATAAGCTTTCTTGACCCCAGAATGGCAGTCAGATTTCTCTTTGTGATTTCAAGCAATATATTATTCCATACAGTAATCACGTGTTTGTGTTTTAATAAAATTGTTTGTCATACTTTGAGGACACACTAGAATTTTGATTTTCAATTGATTTTAAGATTTATATAATTTCTATGATCTATTACTCTTTCGTGTTCAGTTTTGTCACCCTACATAAAATGAGCCTTTTCTGATAATATGCTGTTACAATATGGTAAAAAAATGTAATGTCACTACTCTTTTGTTATGTTTAGATCTGTTTATGAATGAATTGTTACGTAAAGCTTACACTAATAAAACACATTTTAAACTCTGCCTTTATTGCTGCTGTCCAGTTTATTTCTTTTGAAAAAGTCAGCCCTGAATGAGGGCCATTACAGATAAAAAAATGAATGGTGGTGCGTAGAAAGTGTCATTGAGTCACAAAAAATGTAGCGCGTGCAGGGAGCCAGAAATAAGATGAGAAGGGTGGGGGGGTCGTTGGTCAGCCCCGGGTTACAGGCAAGAAGGAGGTGCAAAGCGCACTCACCTTCCGCCAAAGCAGGCCTGCCTGCCACCTGACTTCTAACACCTGGGGTAGGTAGCTGTCTAGGGTTATTATAATTATTATTGGTATTTGCATAGCACCAACTAATTCCGCAGCGCTTTGCAATATTATTAAAGGGGAGAAATTTACAATAATTAAGACAATTACACAGGAACAATAGGTAGATGAGGGCCCTACTCAAATGAGCTATGTTGCCTTGTGGTTGGCTACAGGGAAAACAGTGCCTTTTGGGGGACAAATGTCTATTCTCCTGCTTACAGTGTCTTCAGTAACTTCATGAGATGACAAAAGAAGAGCGATCTTTGCAGCAGGAGGCGAGGAGGATTGTAATTCAATTGTTTGACTGCTACTATCAATCACTTCCTGCAGGCCCCTTACTTCATCACAAAGAAAACTACAATGAGAGGCAGCGAGGACAGAGCTGGGGCAGACTGACACATGGCTAAAAAGAGGCCCCAGAAATTATTAGAAAATGGGGATCTTGTACATAGCTATACCTTTTCACAGCAAACCTATTATGGAACTTTGTTTAGTTTTGAGGAGGAGCAGCAACTCCTAAAACCCATATTTTTTATGTGCTGCCAAATAACCAAAGAGAATGAAAGAATCAAATCACATTGCGGCAGTCGTGTTCTCTAAGTAAGGTCAAATCTAATCTTGTTTGTTTTCAAGGGTGTTGGGGAAAACCACAATATATCAGTGTAAGTTAAAGGAACAGTCCATTGCTATAAATCAATACATATATTCATAATGCTGGAATTTTACTGTTACTCCTGGGCCCCCTTTGGCTTCCCCTTTACTCTTAATTGAAATGTTAACTTGTCTGAAATTTAGCAACAAAAGGGTTTCTCCTCTGCAGCTCCATCCCACCCAGGAAGATCTCCCTGCTAATAGAATGCAGAAAGCAATGCTTCTCTTAGATATTGATAGCGGGGAGGACACCACTTAGAACCTTTATAAAAGTGCTGAGTTCCCTTGAAATCTTCATTTTTATAATATGTGAAAGAGGGGAAACTGGAAAGCAGGGTAGTTAGTGACTGTATTTTAATTTTATGCATACTTTAGATATTTTCCAAAACAAGACACGTACACCAAAATTAATTGAGAAACAATGGTGGTGTATGTTTCCTTATGCCATTAAATGCTTGTTGGAGACTGTGTCTAAAGGGGGTTATCACCTGGTCTGTAAAGGAGACTCCATGGCTGATCTGCACCAGTTTAAACCTCTTGGTGAGTTTGGATTTGGTGCCAGATTTAGCAAAAACCTTTGTGGAGCGTGGTTTACATTATGTCATCATAGTAGAATTCCTCGGTATCTGGTCCATCTCTTTTACTTTTCCCAGCCTCTTTCAGACCCTCTGGTTGCTTATGGGTCGTTCGATGCTTCAATGAAGGATATCTTGGTAAAAACCCACTATCTACAAAGAAAGATATTTTATTACACACAGTGACAAAACGTGAAGTAGTTATTTACAATACCTTTTGGTCGATCTTTTGTAGCAACTTGGCCAGCATAGTGTCTAGAATAGTGTCTAGAAGAGTTACTCGGTAAACTGATTTGTGGATTTGATGCAATCTGTGCTTCCAAATTTAGATCAAAATATCAGAATGGAAAAGGTTTTGTTATTTTGAGCAAATACTACTTTGATGTTGACTATTAAACATTACTAGGATTATTTACTAAATTGAGACTTGCTGTGAATTCAATGTGTATTTAAAATATTACACTAAAATCCCCAAAGTGAAACTATTCTCCAAGTCAGCTATGCTTCTCGTTCAGCTATTTGGCCATACATTTGAAATCCACCTCAAACTCACTTAGAATTCCTGACACGTCTCACTTTAGCGACTAATTCTGACCATTTATTTCTGCAAAGACTGAAATCATTACCATCCACAAGCCCAAAATGTTCAACTGGTATTTCCAAGGGGGTCTCGTCATCCGATTCGACGCTCCTGAAATAAAAATTAAAAAAAATATTAGAACAGTCCACGCAATGAGGACATCATATGGGTTAAAGGGACACTCCAAGCATTATAACCATTGGTTACTGTAGTGGTTATGGTGCCAGGAGAGTCTTGGTGCCTCCACCCCCAATCTAAGTAGTCAAACCGACTGTTATTGGTTTGAATTCTTACCTGGGCACTGCCCTCTGCCTCAGATAAGCCTGGCAGTGCAGGAATTAGCTCATTGGCTTTGAGCAATCAGCTGACACCAATAAGTTGGCCCAGCATGGCAGTACTTAGCTCAGGATAGAGAGAGCTAACAGAAACTCCTAATAACGGCCTCCAGCTTTCACTTTCAGCTGCGGAGAGGCATAGGCACAGAGTGTGGTGGTTATGGTCCTTGGAGTGTACCTTTAAATAGAGCCGAGTTATCAATTGATCAGCAGGGTAAGAGGAACACATACCTCCGAAAAATAGGTAGAGAGGGAACCACATCCAACAGCACAATCATGTAGAGAATGAAACACAGCCTGTTATAAACATCCATGGAATCACAAGACGCTGATTGCAAATACGATTTTCTCTGCTCAGTGACCTGATATAATTCCGTTTTACTAATTGATGTCACTAGAAAGTTATTGCAGGACAGGATCTCTCTTCTACACGCTGTTAATAATTTGTATCACTGGAAGGATTGCGTGATTAGTCTGTGTGTCTATTTTATGATGTCATAAAAGCCAGGTTTTCATACATGCTGTTTGACCCATTTGCTGGCAAACCACTGCTAGAAATGTTTTATCGGTGTTTTGTGTCTTCAGGAAAGCAACATTTGCAGTACTTTATATCTGAGATATCTGCACAAATCATATGTATTTTCCCAGAGGACATTCAGAGAGACATTTCCTGTTTAGACAATGTTAAATCAAAATACCGAGGCTTTATTGCACCAACTCATATCAGGAAGATGAAATGTCCTGTGAAAATTGGTTCATGTGTGTAATATGTGTGGGCCCTCCATTTCTGTTAAAGTGATTAGACCAAACATCTCGATACACACCATTTAGAATACTCTGGGTTGCCTACTTTTGGAAATGTTACATTTGTGAGACTCTACTTAACACAAAAATGTATTTTATTGCAGTAAAAGCGAACAGTATTATGACATTCATAGTTAAAATGTAATGTAGAACTAAAAAAAAAAAAAATTTCTTAATTTTTTACACTTTTTTTTTTACATCTTATTCATATTAAATTATGTTTCATATCTAAATAATGTATGTGAACTGAAAGCCCTGAGCACAATGATATATAATAAGTGTGGGTGCTCTTAATATGGAAGAGGTGAGTTATGTTTGTATAGACCTGTAGCTCACATTCCTGGTTTTGTTTTGGTTGAGATTTTGTACAATTGCCTCCATCCTTTAGGGGTTAAACCAGGAATAAGGGAACTCCAGCAGTCAGACGATCTGGATCATAAATCCCATCATTCTCAGCCAGTCACCTATTCCTGAGTTGGATTTCCCTACAAACTAGCTTTACCTCCACCTGTCAGTCACCCCTTCCCACTAGTCACCTCCTTCTGGTCAGGTAACCCAGTAGTGCTGTGATCCAGTGGGAAGCAGTATAGGAGGGGAGAGGTGGTGCTTGCATGCTATGGGAGGGAGGGCATAGGGGGTTTAACCAGAGACAGCCTGGTGTCTTGATATTAGAATCAGCGGTAGATCTGACTGGCCCAGCCATGGTAAGTCATTTTATCTATTCTACTCAGAATATCTACTTTGTATCAATGGCAGTGTATCTAATTATACAAAGAGCACAATCATTTCACAAATGACAATGACAGCATGCAGACACACTGTCAGATCACCGGCACAAACAGTGCCAACAGACCCACATTGCTGGCATCCCTGGGGACCTGTGCCCATATTCAGTCCAACTCAATTAACCCCATTCACTGCCAGCATCTCATTACATACAGACATGCAGGAGTAGTGGATTAAAGGTTTGTGGGGAGCAAAATCTATTTTTGGACTTCTCTGAGTACAAATAATAATGCATAACATGTAAATGTATTATTTAGACTGCCAAGCAATGATTTACTGTAAGTGTGTGCAAAACATCAAATACTATCCATATTACATGCACATGTAATGAAATATTGCTGCATAGTACACACTGCAAATCAAATGTTATTTATTTATTATTTTTGGACATTATTTCCACATTTTATATATTTGCATAGGTTCCACCACTCAGAGCAACAATGTTGCAAATTAGTAATGAAATATTCCAAGTCTCTGCTGATTGCTGCCATTGGGCTGTACGTTAGTATGAGGTGGTGTCAGACCATGGGCGGGGTACAGGCTGGGGATAGTTTAACTCAGAAAAGGGATTGGACAAGGATGGAAAAGGATTCTGGGAAATAAAACACCAAAGGGGGTTGTGCAATATGTGCATTGCTGGTGCAAGGTTCTTAATGGGGCTGTCGCCATGGAAACCAATGGAATGCGTGCCCAGGAATTCTCATTGTGTCCATTCAGCATTAATAAAGTCATGTTAATTCTTATTCCAGAAATGTTACTGAACATGGAAGTAGGAAATGAATAAAAAGTGTGAATAAACACATATTGTGCAGCTGTGTACCCTACAGCCACACTGAATTGAATTAGCCAATCAGACACCGTCATCAAAATTAATTGGTGTCCACCTCTTTCTATAATCCATCATTTAGGTGCATTTTCCAGATATTTGCTATTCCCTCCAGATAGTCAATGACTAAAGAGCTTACACTCTAGTGCAGACATTTGCTTTGCATTTTAATTCCAGATGCACAGTGGGGTTTACTTACTAAATAAGACAACAGTTCATTTAGAAACATTGTTTCCCAGCACCACATTGGTAGGGCTTAATGTTTACAGACAGGATGTTGGTTAGCTCAGTGGAGAAAAACTCAAGAGGCAGCTTCATGAGAGACGTGTTTTTTTATGTGTGTGTTGGGCAGTGAGTGTTCCTTTAAGCTACAGTAGATGCAGAGTAAATAAACCTCTGGCTTGTGGCAAACTGCATCTCTTGTATTAGTCTCAGTCAAACTTTCCTGGTTGAAGTACTTCAATATGTGTTTTGAACCACAGTTAATAGAGTCGTAATAATACATTTTATTCTCTGCATTCCCCTTTTCAGGACTCTGGTGTGATCGTAGCCCTAGCTGCAGTTGGGATAACAGTGCTAATCTTCCTGATTAAAGCATTAGGATCTCAAGGCAATAAAAAGTTAATTACGCTTCTGGATCCCAATGTCAAGTATCCACTACCTCTTATTGACAAACAGGTAAATTTTTTCCCAACATGTTTCTTATAAATTTAATGTGATAGAAAAATAAATGTCCTAATTTTTCTTTTTTATTATTGTGCAGGAAATTAGCCACGACACTAAACGATTCCGATTTGGTCTCCCTTCATCGGAGCATATTTTGGGTCTCCCCATAGGTAATACCGGATATCATGGGAATAAAATATTTTTGGGCATAACTTATCAATTGAGGTTTGTTGTCATTTTCTATCAGTGGATTTCATTATTACTATTTGGGGAGTTTTCGTTGACTTTCTTTAACTTGAACATTAACTGAAAATATTTTATATAAATATTATTATTTTTTTTTTTTTTTTAAATGAGGTGACCTTAAGCTGCCGCCAAAGGGTTAGGGCCAATGATTTCCCCTGGCCACATTCAAGAACCCAAAGTGGAGAATGAAGGGAGGTCCCTAGACTGGTAACTTTCCTAGGTTCTTGTTGGACCTTATTTTTATTTATTTTTTTATACTGAAAATACTAAAAAAGACAAAGTATACATCCTATATGATGATGGATAGATTTCTTTGCCCTCTCATGACAAAGCTACTCCGAGATTTAACACAGTACAGTCAGACAATGCTACAATGTAAGACATGTTTTAGCTATTTTGCTTTAGTAATCCATTTTGAAGTTTATTTGTGCTAATTTAATCTTGTCTATCCCCAGGACAACATGTCTATCTCTCTGCAAAGGTCAATGGGTCCCTGGTGGTCCGGGCATACACCCCTGTGTCTAGCGATGAAGTTAAAGGCCATGTTGACTTGGTTGTGAAGGTAAAATTAATAATTGATAGCTTCCAGAAATGTTTGTTTATTATTTAACTGTTTTGTGATGTCCTAGATGTACTAAACACGTATTTTGAATTAAAAATATTTTAATAGAAACACTGGAATGAAAAACACTATGGGCATGGAACAATTCAAAAACCAAACCACACGCACATTTCGAGGAACTATAAACATGTTGTGCTCTATGTGGTCTTTCCTCTGGGAAGATAAGACACTGAAGGTCTCTGTGAGCGGATGTGACCAAAAGGCCAAAGACTCACTACTTCAACCTGGAGCAGTACCTTTTGGACTAAACCCCCGCAGTGGCATTTCCAGTGTGCAGGAACAAATTGATTGTGCTCATGCATTGTGTACACTGTACAGTGAAAGAATCAAATTAAATCAGATGAGCTATGGGTCATCTACTGTAGATCATCTGAAGTTCCAAAGTTAGCTATTAATAATATTAAAGGGACACTAAAGGCACCTCATTGAAGTGGTCTGGGTGCCGTGTCCCTGTCTGTTTAACTCTGCATTGTAAACTATTGCAGTTTTTGAGAAACTACAATGTTTACATTGCAGAGTTAGGTCTCAGAGGCACTAGCTGGCACCTAACAGAGTTTTGCTCCATGAAACAATGTTGAACGTCCTCACGCTTTGCCTGAGAGTGTCTAATGTCTTCAAACCAATTTATTGGTTTAATGCTTTCCTATGGTGAAGCTTTAATGCGCTCATTGCGAGTGCTGTACATGCGCATTATTTTCCACAATAGCCGTGACATTGCAGGAGGAGGAGACCTAATGAACACAGAGGTAGCCTTAAAGCTGAAATTAAGGTAAGTAAAAAAAAAAAAAAAAAAAGGGGGGGGTTTAACCCTTTACATGTTGAACGGTGAATGGGGACCTAATAATCTCCCTCAGCTGGATCTTTCCCACCACTCCTCCTTGCTGGAGTGCGAGGGTAATCTAAAAGGAGATCAGGGCGCTGTGCTACTGTCTGTTACCAGCATTCTGTGTGTGCTGACATAAAATACCAACTTTTCACAGAATTGACATGATCTAACCCAGAACTCTTGGCTACCAAAGCCTCCAGGACCAGATGGGTTAAATTTTCTATGTGCAACGTTTCAAAGCACAACGCTGCATATACAGTTTGCAGGCACCATCACCACTTCAAAGCACTGCTAGACGTGACCATTTAAATCCCTTAGAGACATACAAATGAGATTCGCTGTCATTTTATCCTCAGACAGCCACTGGTCCACTGTTGCCCTCCTTACCCAATTTAATAAATAGGATGAATTATGTATACAGAAAATATAGATATATATCTCTGTTGAAAACCTTAGAATAAAATAGCAACAATATTGATAACTAAATAATTTAACACACTTACACAAAGTACAATATAGTCATTCTTTGTATTTTCAGTAAAGACGTGTTTCTACAAATTCTGTATATGTACTTCATCCTGTTTATTTAAACTAATAGTAGACTGCAGCCGCAGCCCAGTGTTTGGCTGAGCATGATGTGAATGAACAACAAAATGTTACTGGTTTACCATACACTAGCAATGCTATTCACTAAAGCCTGCATTATTTAGGCTCCAACTCCCCCAACTGTAAAACTCACGGTCAGTCCCAATAATTCACAGTTTATTGAATATCCCTGTTAATAGCTACAAGTAACCTCACTGGAGATATTATTTCAGTTTCTATTACCCTTTGGACTGGTGACTGAAGATGAATATATGTTGAAGGACATTCTGAGTATAAATTAAACAGGAAGGACTTTGTTCTAGTGCTATATAATGCAGATTATGGGATTTCTGTCCCATAGATGACACTGCATTAAATTAAAACATCGATCAGTGTTGTTATATTATATAAAGCAAATCAATGAATATTGTAGAGTTTTCAGAGGACCTTGCACACGCACTTTCTTTTCTGGGAGTTCTCCCACTGAGGTGCTCCAAAACAGGGAGGGGAACAAAAAAGTAGGTGACAAAGGCTCAGGCGAGCCGAAACGTTGTCTACATTTTTGTACTCCACAATAAAATCTACCTGCTGAACGACACTGCTGGGTGTTCCCAAACCTACTTTTTTTGTTCCCCAAATATACAAATTGCTCAAATTCTACCACGGCTCATAAAACCAACAGTCCTTTGTGTAATTTGACAAGCTGTCGGTTTTTGCAATGATGTATAGCACCTCTGTTTTATAGTATATTACACACTGCGTGTTTGTTCCTTTTTATTTAATAATTGGAGAAATTGTTATGATAGATTTTTCTTTGAGCACCAAATGTCCTTCAGCAAATATCTTTTTTTTTTTTATGTATGTTAACTAAATGTTTTATAAATTTAACAAAGATATTGAACATGACTTGATGTTGAATTTTAGGCAATTACCCATCCGGTTCATGTTTGTTTATATTTTTTTCTACAGGTTTATTACAAAAATGTGAACCCTAAATTCCCAGATGGAGGAAAAATGTCTCAGTATTTGGACAGTTTGAAAATAGGAGATACCATTGATTTCCGGGGTCCAAATGGTCTTCTTGTCTACAAAGGGAAAGGTATCTAAATGAATCAGCATATCAAATGATGCATAAAAAGAGATGATGCTAAGTTTGGATCGGCATTTGGGAATTGTTTTGCCAAATATGTTGCCATGTATAGTGGAACTTTTTCTAAAGCAGATAATTGAGACCATTTTCTGTAAGTAACTGATTAACGTAGCAACATTGTTTTAACATAAAGAGGAGAGACCTAACTTTTTACAACAACAAAAGTGCTAAGGAGTTTCTAAGGCGTCTTTGTTGTTTTCACATTTTTACCGATGCATTTCACTCCTAAACTCAAATGGTTACCGGGGAATGGGAGTCCCAATTCATAGTAAATAGACTAAGCAGTAACTATGTTATATGTCAATGGAAAATCACAACATGACTAATTTTATGGTTCTGAGTCTAAAGAATATCTCCTCCTCAGCTGGAGCTTAGGATCTCCGTGCCCACTTAACCTAATGTATGTGTATAAATAAATAAAAATATATATATAAGCTGTCACTGAAATCTTCTCCTTTGCCAAAGGGGAAAAAAAAACCAACAAAAATATAAAACATTTAAAAAAAAAAAAAAAGACAAACTGCACACATATCTAAAAATAGCAGGATTCTCCAAAATTGGAGAGATTCTTGATGTGAATTGATATGCCCCTGCTGTAGAAAGAAAGAATAGCTATTGCTCATAACAGGGAACCTCTCAGTAAGACCGGGACTAAGCCCAGGCGAGTACTAAAACATTTATTTACTATGTTTTCACAGAGATTACATTCTCCAGCTAAGTCTCTGATGAAAGAAATCACTCATTGGATCTATTTATACTGATTATAGCCTGTAGGTGATATAGAAAGGCTCATGTTTTTGGGCAGCTCTTGACTATATTTTTTGCTTTCTTGTCCAAAAACGTACTTACATTTTCTCACTCCGACCCTGATATATCTGAAAACTTTAAACATAGAAACATAGAATGTGACGGCAGATAAGAACCATTCGGCCCATCTAGTCTGCCCAATTTTCTAAATACTTTCATTAGTCCCTGGCCTTATCTTATAGTTAGGATAGCCTTATGCCTATCCCACGCATGCTTAAACTCCTTTACTGTGTTAACCTCTACCACTTCAGCTGGAAGGCTATTCCATGCATCCACTACCCTCTCAGTAAAGTAATACTTCCTGATATTATTTTTAAACCTTTGTCCCTCTAATTTAAGACTATGTCCTCTTGTTGTGGTAGTTTTTCTTCTTTTAAATATAGTTTCCTCCTTTACTTTGTGACAGATGTGCCTTTTTGAAGCCTAATATTACCTTTAGCAAATAGAAATCGTGTCCTTCCTAATGATCATCTGTTTCCTTCAGGCAAATTTGCCATCAGACCAGATAAGAAGTCTGAACCCCAGATTAAATACACGAAACATATTGGGATGCTTGCAGGTGGAACAGGTAAGTGTTCTTCTCAGTGGATGGACATTATCTTTATTTAGACATAGGGGTGGTTTATCTGTGCTGTTTTAAGTAAATAACCATTGCATCTCAATTTTTGAGAATTTGTGGGATGGGGCCTTTTAGAATTTTTTTCCGGGAGCTTTGGTGTATTTTCATATCCAATTATCCAATTGTTCTGGGTTACATTGTAGCAATGGTAGCTTCACAAAGCCGTGATTTTTGTTTTCTGTTTTATTGCAAAGTAAAAAAACTGTTAGTACATAATGAACATTTTGTTCCACATCTGTACATATATGTATTGTGTAATATTTAATGTCATGCTAATAATGAGTCCAAAGCTTATATTGGGCCAAACAGCCACAAAATGTGTACAGCACAAGAACTGCTTCAGATACATTCTAACATGCTGTCTTAATAGTGTTTGAACAAAATCAGTCAAAAAAGGGTACATTAAATGGTATACTTGTCCGTACTCTGCCAATCCATACATGACTAAACATGCCTTAGTGCATAGCTCACTCTGTGCATTATGGGGTATTGTGCTTGGCATTGTGGGTACATGACCACACAATCCATTATTGCCATGTACACCTCTGTGTTTACATCATACATGTAAAATTAACACTCTTAAAGATGTAAGCCACGTTTAAAGCAATATACATATAGTGTCAAAATGCTCTCAAATATCTTAACAAAGGAAATGTACCTTTTAGTCACAGATTTGTGATCATTTATTTGTTTATTGTATTTAATTCAATTAAGCTCAGACATCTAAGATGAAGAACTAAATAATTTTTCTGTGAATTCAATGCTGATGCAGGTATTACTCCGATGCTGCAGTTGATACGTCACATTACCCAGGATCCTAGTGATGACACGAAGTGCTACCTCATTTTCGCTAATCAGGTAATAGATCTCCGCAGCACTTATCGAAATGCCAACTGAAATGTATGTTTCTTGCACTGTGCTAAACTAACAATGCTCAGTGTCAACGAATTCTAATTTGCAGCCAGAATGGGTTGTTTTCCATCAAATTGATTATTTTTGTAAATTGCAAAAATAAAAAATGTCAAGCTCTGCAAATTTTTGCAATACAAATCTTTTGAAATTCATTTTTCAAATTACTATGACAACTTCAAATATGCTTGGTGTCTCACACAGTTCCTAGCATTTCCTTAACATTTCACTACAATTTTTTTTTAACTTCTTGTATTTTAAATCTTCCTGTGTTTATTCAGTGCATTATAGTGTTTCTGTCCAAGATTAATTGGTCATTTATGTTCTTTGCACAGACTGAAGAAGACATTCTGTTGCGTCCAGAATTGGAAACTGTTGCCAAGAATCACCCTGACCAATTTAAGCTTTGGTACACCTTGGATCGGCCACCTACTGGTAAGATTTTATACAATGAAAAGGATAAGTGTTCAACTCTTTACAAGATATAGCCGAGGCATTCCCAAGTGATTCCCAATCCATTGGCATCAGTACCCTCTGCCCCCCAAGTTACAGCACACTGCTGGCCCCGACAGTGGCTACAACCTCTAATGTATAATCTAATGTGTATTGCTTTGTGGTATGGAACACCCCATAAAATTATATTCTGTATATCCGGAGTCACCTTGCTTTGCCCTCAAATTTATGTGTGCATAGAAAAATGTATTCTCCTGCAAAACCACTTGGGATATTAAGCAATGTTTAGTTATATTAGCTAATTTTACATAGTTACATAGGCTGAAAAGAGACAAAACGTCCATCGAGTTCAGCCATTTTCACGTCTGTTTTTGCTGTTGATCCAAAAAAAAGGTAAACAAAAACAGTTTGAAGAGCTTAAAATTTTGCAACAAATTAGGAAAAATAATCCTTCTTGACCCCAGAATAGCAGTCAGATTTAGAAGTAGCTATTTTAAAATTATAGCCCTGAATATTATTTTTTTCCAAGTATGCATCCAGTTGCTGTTTAAACATCTGTACAGATTCTGATAAAACCACCTCTTCAGGCAGAGAATTTCACATTCTTATTGTTCTTACTATAAAAAAAAGAAACATTTCCTTTGCCTTAGACTAAATCTCCTTTCTTCCAGTTTAAACGTGTTTCCTTGTGTCCTATGTATAGTCCTGTTTGTGAATAGATTTCTAGTTGTGGAATTACTGATCTTCTGGATACCTAGAAAGGCTGCTCTAAAATACACATTTGGTTAAGAGGTGTTTCTTTTTAACTTGAATGTTTATGTTAATCCATCGCTCCTTTTAACAGGGTGGAAATACGGGTCAGGATTTGTCACCGCCGATATGATTAAAGCCCACCTGCCATCTCTTTCTGACAAGGGCCTTGTGCTTATGTGTGGTCCTCCTCCGATGATACAGTTTGCGTGTCAAGACAACCTGACCAAACTAGGCTACCCCGATGACAGACGATTTGCCTACTAGCCCAGATAATGCTCTTTGTTCATCAGAACCAAAACACCCTCTGGTGTTGCCTTCCATCATTCCACAAAACAATGTGACAGAAAAAAGGATTAATTAAGGATATTTTTGTTTTTTGTAAACATTTTTTAACTCTAGTTTTTCTATTTTTTTTAAAACAATGATGCTTTTCCTATTATTGAGAGAAGCTTATATTGCAAAATCTAGAGGTGCACTTATTGGGGTAGTTAGTTATTTTTTTATCCTCTGTATTTTAGTGTTCGGAATCCGTGCAAACAGTTTCCCCTAGTACCCCACTCTCTTACATGGATATAAAGTTACTCCACAAATAATGCAACTGTTGCTACTTGGTTTATTTGTTTTTAGGCTTCCGCAGATTACCCCAGGATTCAGAGTGATACACATTTGTTTTTTTTAAAAACTTTAAAACACTTTAACACCAGCCAGTACTGCCATATTTCTGTGCAGTTATTTATTTTATTTTATTCATTTTTCATCCCAAGATATTCCATTTTAAAGGACCACTATAGGCTCAATGAAGTGTTCCGGGTGCCAGGTCCCCCAGGTTTTAACCATGCAGCTGTAAACATAGCAGTTCCAGAGACACTGCTATGTTTACATAGCAGGGTTAATCCAACCTCTTGTGGCTGTCTTCCTGACAGCCGCTAGAGACGCTTCTGCGACGCTGAATGTGAAAATCGCATTGAGCATACAGAATGTCCATAGGAAAGCATTAACTAATGCTTTCCTATGGGCTGTTTGAATGCGCGCGTGGCTCTGGCCGCTGATGCGCATTCGGCCCCACTCGGGAGCTGACGTCGGAGGGGGAGGAGAGGTTACCAGCGCCGAGGGAGCCCGGCTCTGTATTAAGGTAAGTGGCTGAAGGGGTTTTAACCCCTTCAGCACCAAGGGAGGAGGTCCCGTAGGTGGGGGGGACCTAAGGATTATATAGTGCCAGGAAAACGAGTTTGTTTTCCTGGCACTATAGTGGTCCTTTAAATAATTTTGATAATCTGTAAACTTTCTTACTATCTCAATGAAAGGTAGCCGAAAAGGAAAAATCTGACTCCTTTGACTTGGATATTTATTTCTAACTTGATTTTATTTACCTAATTTTTGCTAGTTAATGGTTAACTCTCCACCACGGACTGTTTTGTGCGTAATTGCCTTGAACTTCGTGCCATAAAACACACTACGATTGTTCACTGTAAGGAAATCCTTCTCACTAAAACCATTTTGCAGGTTCAATAGAACTTTTGTTCTAACTGAACTCTGAATTTATAAATGGACTTAACCTTTTCGTTCCAACTGCAGTCGTTCCAAGCTGCTCTGCACTGTTTTAGAATTATTATGCGGATATATTTGCATACTTTTTAAGCTGTGAACGATGATAACTTCTACTGGAGGTCGGGCATTCGAGTTCAGCTCAGGATGTTTTATTTTTTTTTACATTTTATTTTATTATCCAAACATCTTGTGAATTGCTGTGACATGTTTCTTGCTATTGTGATATCATTTCACTGTTTAAGACTTTTTGTTTTTTTTTTGCTCCTAAAGTAGGAACGCCACATTTATGAAAACGAAGTATTGCGATTATTAGTTTCCCTAAATTATATATATTTTCCACCTAATTGTAAACTATTGGTAATGTTGAATCTTTTAAAAGAAACTAATTCTAGAGTGGAAACGTTTAAATGTGAAACAATGGGTTCTTTTTAATACTGTCAGGGTTATTAACTACAGTGAGACTTGCTGGGAATTCAATGTAAATTCAAAGTGAATTTCACAAGTTTCAGGCCAAAATAGCCAAGTTAGAAAATTTCTCCAAGTCAATTCTGTTTTTATCTTGGCTATTTTGGCCTTAAATTTGAAATTCACTTTTAATTCCCGGGCAATTCTCACTTTAAAAAAACAAAACAAAAAAACACTACATGTACAGCAATACATTTTAAATGTTAGACAAAAGGATAACTAAAATGTGTTTTCCTTAGATACAGTACTGTGTTCTTGCTAATGGAGCATTATTATAAATCTGAAAAAAATGCCACCTTGTGGTCAAAAAACATTATTACACTGAAAAGGACTATAAAACGGTCCTGAGGAATATATTGATTATTATTATTTTTTTTTTTTCAGGTACATTAAACATTTGTGATTCTTCGCAAAAACTTCTTCAAATTTTTGCTAAAAGAAAAAAATCTCAACAGCACAACTAAGACTAAAATAGCCAAGGTGTGGCTATAGCTGAGACAGAGTTTCTTCAAATTAGCTATTCATTCAAGTTTAATTTTCTAAAGATTTGTGTTTGCTAAATAACCCTACTTGTGTAGAATGTGCAGTCTGCTAGCGGTTTAAACAGCACATTCATTGTAGTATGACTATATAACACACATACACAGTCTGTGCCCCGACTTTGCCTTTTATACATAACAAACATTATGTTCAATAAACATGACAAACAATATCAAACTCTGGATTCTCTGAATAAGAGATATAACAGCATGTAAGAGCTTACAGTCTAGATAACATGTCATTGTGTGCTCATTGAAGTGTGGCCCTCAATCTATTCTTTTTTGTTAATACCTTTTATAGTTTGCAATTGCAGTGTTGGGGTATAAAAGAAAACCAGAATATGTTGGCGCTATAGAAATACCAATAATGATAATTCCAATTAGTTAAAATGTAATTGTATGCAATCCATGTTGAAGTGAATACAATATTTTATGATATAGAGAGCTGTGTATGGTCTTGGCAGAGGAGAGCTACAATGTTGCCATAAATATAGAGAAATAGTGGAGTGCTTGTTATTATCACCGTTATTTGTTATAGTTTGAAAGGATTACTAAATCTTACTGTTGTGAAACTCTAATTATGTGGTTGTATTCAGCCTTAACAATTCTGTCTTCTGAATCTAGGGGGATTTACAGTGGTGCCCAGTGTGAAACCATTCCCTCACTTCCAGCCATGAGTAATCCATCTCAGACTTTCACATTCTGAATTCCACCTTATGCCGGGCAGTTCTTTTAAGCCCTGCCTGTCACAATGCAGAATAGATAAGCCCTCTGCTTAAAAAAGTCCAGCAACCATTCGCACACACCCCTCCTCCCTCCAAAATTATAATTTATTTTTTAATTTTATTTTGTGTCATTTCCAGAGTGCAGATTTTTTGTAACCTGTTTTCAGAATCCTGGTCCTTAGTAGATGGTGTTTTCATTGTCGTCATGTCATTACAATGTATTTGGTGGCATTAGAAAATCTCTATTTCTTACAGCATATCAATTGCAGAAAAAAAACCCTATGAATTTAAAGTGTTTACCAAATGTTAGGCTAACATTAATATGGACATTGATCTCAGTATTTATCACAAGATATTGTGACTCCAAAATCACATTTACTGTATTTTAGCCGATCCGCATGACACTGAACTGTTGGAGTTTATAGCAGTGAGATAGTAAATACTTAATGGAATGTTCTAATTCAGCGATCAGTAGAATTAGATGCTACCTGCCTGCAAATTCACTGAAACCCAGTCTGTACAATATGCAAGTAGAGTGTTAGTAATAAAACCTATCAATACAAAGAGCACCTTTTATTACCCCAGTAATTTAAACATTTATTTAGGTTCTTCCATTTATATTTATTAAATTCTAATAACGATGTTCATTTATTATTTTAACAGGATTTTTTGGGGACTATAACCACTTCATTTAATTAATACGCCACCCAACTGTCCTTTGTCTAACATTTCCTCAGAGCTTTCTCAGCCTATCAGTGCCGCCATAGTAGGTATGAATTGGTATAGACCCGCAGGGATAGGCAACCTTCGGCACTCCAGATGTTGCGCACTACATCCCCCATAATGCTCTTACACCCAGAATGCTGGCAAAGCATCATGGGAGGTGTAGTCCAAAACATCTGGAGTGCCAAAGGTTGCCTAAGCCGGGGTAGAGTTTTTTTTCTGTTAGCTGTACCCTCCAGCGGTGAGGGCCTTCATTTAGTATCAAACGGATTGAGAATAGTTTGACACTCAAGCTATAGTGTCAGGAAAATGGGATTTCTGCTAAGTTTGTGAATAACTTTTACTGACTAAACACCGCAAGGAAATTGTAGATATGTTTTCTGAATATAGGGAAATCTAAAACAAATATTTAAAAGGGTGAAATAGTGTTTTAATGCACACCTTAATGAACAGAGAAAATGTAGTTCATATTTATCTAGATTTTAAATAAAGTTTTCTAAGATACAAAAAAAAAAGCACAGTTAAGCAATAATTGTAAAGATACATATTTATTTGTTGCCCATTAAGTCAATTACAGCAAATATATACATATGCACAGACCACATAAAACAATATCTAATCACAACTGATCTCCCTGGAAAATATATACATCTTTTAAGAGATTTTTTTTTTTTTTTTTAATATTTTTATATGAGATCTCCACCTTTCCATAAGAATAAAAATGTAAATATATGTACAACTTCTTTAAAAGTAACAAAACATTGTCCATTTTGCATTCACACAGACATTGCAGAGACTTTTGCAAAAACGTGTTTCCAATATTCATTTAAATGAGCCTTTGTGTTTGTTGTAAAACCCATCCAGTCTTCTTTGGTTCCAGATCATTTTTAGCACCAATGGTTAAAACCGAATAACTGCCTTCATTATCTCCAGGCATCGTATGAAGTTAAAAGTCTGTAATTACTCATTATTTCATCTTGGCTGAGCATGTTCTGAGAAGCAAATAAGAATATTTAAAAATAAAATATATAATCACTAAGCACACAAGCTGGGGTTGATCACAATCTGGTTTGGTTGATCACAATCTGACTGTACCCCTGTGCTAGATGCTCCTGAAATATATCTCCTATAATACTGACAAAGCATCATGGGAGATGTGGTCCGCAACATCTGGAGTGCCGAAGGTTGCCTACCCCTTATCGAACACATCAATCAGATAATACTTGGCAACCCATCAAAGTGCTATTAATGATCGAATATATTGAGAAGGCAACATTTCAACCCAATCCTGGGTCTTGGTCAAGCTTTGGACGGTTGAATAAAGAACCAGTTATTATTATTATGATATTTATAGAGCGCCGTCAAATTCCGCAGCGATTTACACACTAAGCATGACTTTGGACAGGGTTATTCAGTAATGTTGGAATGGCTGGGGTCAAACTTGAAGAACAGCCAATTTAGAGATTCCCTCCCCCCACCCCAAATTGGATTTAACATTTTTATTCAGTTTGAATACCTGTCAATTGTCAGTTTAGTGAATAATCATGTGAGTATTAAGAGAATTACAGTTTGAGATTGTAGTTGAAGTGGTCTGGGTAGTGTCCCTATTGCACTTAGTGCTGCAATGTTACAAATTGCAATTCCAGTGTTTACATTGCAGCTCTAAGCCTGCCCCCAGTGACTGTCTACCAGACAGCTACTAGAGAGCTTCCTCGTTTGAAATGGACCTTTGGTGCGTTATCTGATGCTGGACTTCCTCACACTCTGCTTGAGGACCTCCAGCGTCAGATTTTTTCCCCACAGGAAAGCATAGATTCAATGCTATCCTATGGGGAGGTCTAATGCATGTGCGGTATTTGATGCGCATTAGCTCCCACTCGTCTCAGGACAGAAGAAGAGGCGGAGCCATGACCCAGCACCCAGTGACATCGGCGCTGGCATCAAGCAAGTAAAAAAAGCATTTTTAAAAATCATTACTGCACAGTTTGACTATTTTAGCCTTAAATTTCCCATTCCTATTTCAGTTCACTAGTAAATAGAAAGGTTTAGGATTTGTGTGTTATTTAAAATGAATGTAAATAATGAGGACAAAATAGCCAAACTGAGAACATGGCTTACTGGGACATTTTCTCAAATTCCCTTTAAATGCCAGACATTTCCGTTATTACATACTATCGAACATGTTTTTACCATTTATTCCATATTAATCTTAAAGAGACACTATAGTCACTAAAACAACTTTAGTTTTGGTGTATAGATCATGCCCCTGCAGTCTCACTGCTCAATTCTCTACAATTTTGACCCTAAATCACTTTAAATCTAACAATTTTTTCATGCAGGCTGTGAGAGTCACAGCCAGGGGAGGTGTGACTATAGAAACATAGAATGTGACGGCAGATAAGAACCATTCGGCTTATCTAGTCTGCCCAATTTTCTAAATACTTTCATTAGTCCCTGGCCTTATCTTATAGTTAGGATAGCCTTATGCCTATCCCACGCATGCTTAAACTCCCTCACTGTGTTAACCTCTACCACTTCAGCTGGAAGGCTATTCCATGCATCCACTACCCTCTCAGTAAAGTAATACTTCCTGATATTATTTTTAAACCTTGTCCCTCTAATTTAAGACTATGTCCTCTTGTTGTGGTAGTTTTTCTTCTTTTAAATATAGTCTCCCCCTTTACTGTGTTGATTCCCTTTTTTTTTTTATGTTTCTATCATATCCCCCCCTGTCTCGTCTTTCCTCCAAGCAATACATGTTAAGATCCTTTAACCTTTCCTGGTAAGTTTTATCCCGCAATCCATGAACCAGTTTAGTAGCCCTTCTCTGAACCCTCTCTAAGGTATAAATATCCTTCTGAAGATACGGTCTCCAGTACTGTGTACAATACTCCAAGTGAGGTCTCACTAGTGTTCTGTACAATGGCATGAGCACTTCCCTCTTTCTACTGCTAATACCTCTCCCTATACAACCAAGCATTCTGCTAGCATTTCCTGCTGCTCTATTACATAGTCTGCCTACCTTTAAATCATCAGAAATAATCACCCCTAAATCCCTTTCCTCAGACGTTGAGGTTAGGACTCTATCAAATATTCTGTACTCTGCCCTTGGGTTTTTATGTCCAAGATGCATTATCCACATTAAATGTCAGTTGCCAAAATTCTGACCATTTTTCTAGTTTACCTAAATCATTTGCCATTTTGCTTATCTCTCCTGGAACATCAACCCTGTTACATATCTTAATATCATCAGCAAAAAGACATACCTTACCATCAAGACCTTCTGCAATATCACTAATAAAAATATTAAAGAGAATGGGTCCAAGTACAGATCCCTGAGCTACCCCACTGGTGACAAGTCTAAGCTTTGAATATATTCCATTAACCACAACCCTCTGTTGCCTGTCACTCAGCCACTGCCTTACCCATTCAACAATATTGGAATCCAAACTTAAAGATTGCAGTTTATTGATAAGCCTTCTATGTGCAACAGCGTCAAAAGCCTTACTGAAATCTAGGTAAGCCATTTCTACTGCACCACCCTGATCTATAATTTTAGTTATCCAATCAAAAAAATCAATAAGATTAGTTTGGCATGATCTCCATGAAGTAAACCCATGTTGTCTCTGATCTTGAAATCCAGGTGATTTTAGATGTTCAACAATCCTATCCTTTAACATAGACTAGTGCTGCATTAACATAAACTAGGGATGTGCATGGGCAAAAAATTGTTTTGGTTCGTCAAAATTCTGGACTTTGGGAATTCGAGATTTTGGCAATTCCCTAACCCTACCCATAACCCTCCTCTTACCCCTACCCCTATTAGGGTTAGGTGTAGGGTTAGAGGAAGGTTTGGGTAAGTGTTCGGGGTAGAGGTCGGGTTAGAGGAAGGTTAGGGGTAGGGTTAAATTCCGGTCATCATTCCCTTAATTTTACCTCCCTCGCCTCGCCACTTTTCAGAAATCTGAAGCATTTTGACACTTCTGAAATTCGGGACTTTGGCACTTCGGACATTCAAAAGCATCTGAATCGCCGAAATTTGTCCGAATTTAAATTGACAGAAACTAATTGCACATGTCTAACAGAAACAAAGGTGATTTAACTCCTAAATAGCAGGGAATCGAGCAGTGAGACTGCAGGGGCGTTGATATATACACCATTGATATTAGACACCATTGATATTAGAAGGTAGAATTTCAATACAGTGTTTTTCTTAAATATGCTCTATAGAGTGCGTCATCATTCCAGTTATCCTTAATGGTTGTTCATAGTATACATTGCTGTAAGCTCTGGTTAGGGAAAGGGGCTCTTTCATGGGACCATCCCCAATGTTCACGTTTATGGTTTGTAGATTATCAACATAAGAGGAACACCTGTGCCTTACAAAACATGGACTGCATCTCCATTAATGGTCAGCCTGGCTGGGAGTGATGGGAGTTACAATCCACAGTGTCATTTGTACACACAATAGCAGTGTCCCTGTTGGGGTAGGGGCTATCAATGGCGATTAGGGTTTACATCACTTTGCCTTGAACCCTTTACCAAAACAGAATACATCTTTATGATCAGTACTGAGATGGGGACCTCTAACCACATCATGGGATTGTCACTGTAATAACACACATGGTTTTAATGGAGAGGTTCCAATAGTTCCACTTTCCAGGGTTAGCAATCTTACAGAATAATAAGTTGGCAATACTTACCGTGAGGTTGTTAATGCCTTCAGAAAATGCACCTATCTGCTTTACCATGACGTCTGAATGCTCCATCTGAAAAATCAGTCATTAACTTCGTGAATAGGTACCAAAGCCAAGCACTTGGGTCAATATCAGAAACTGGCCACCTTCAGCACAAACACCTACATTTACAAGTTTAGGAACATTATACGGAGTTAGTGGACCCTATGGCTTTTCCCGCCCAAATCAAACCTATTTTCAGCTGCAGTAGAACGCAAGGCTTCCCACCCCCTAAAAGATTTAATAACTTCTCTATGCTGGATGTACACCGCTGATACTCTGAACGTATGATGTACAATTCCCATCACCCCTGGCTGATTGTTATAGGAGTTACAGCTCACAGACGCTGGCTTACCAGATGTTTCCCCCTCTACTACCCTTTCCTT